CGAGTAAAGAACTAAATCGACCATCTCTTGATCAGCGGGCAGTGGAGATCATCGATACTGGACACCAGGGTAGAATGGAGTGCAGATACCAACAGTGTTCACTACCTGGTGAGGACCAGCATCAAACTACGCCTTCAGTCACAAAGAAACAAGAAAAAAGTTAAGCCAAAGATCGATGATGACCGACTGAAGGACGAAGAAACCAAGCGAAAATTCTGTGAGTCAGTGAGGAGTAAGCTTGGGGAGAACAGGACTGAGATTGAGGATATAGAGGAGATATGGGAACAACAAAGGAGTGCCTATACCAAAGCGGCAGAGGAAGTGCTTGGGTTCAGGAAAGGGAAGAGCAAGCCATGGATAAGCGACAACACCTGGAAACTGATAGATGAGAGGAAAGACATTAAGACCAGGACTGACAGTACACGCTCAGAGAGGGTCAAGAACAGGATGAAAGAGGACTACAGGGAGAACGACAGAGAGGTGAAGAGAAGTGTGAGGGAAGACAAGAGGAGATGGCTGACGGAGAAAGCACAGAGAGCTCAGCCAGCAACAGAGAACGGGCGACAGAAAGAACTCTACAGCATAGTGAAACTGCTGACAGGACATAGCACCAGGCAAGCAGCTGCGGTGAAGAGCAATGGTGGAGAGCTGCTTAAGAACAAAGAAGCTAGGAAGGAAAAATGGAAGGAGCATTTCCAGGAAGGGCTTAACAGAGATTCACCAGAAGAACCACCACAAGAAGAATATGAAGGAAAACTTGATATCTCAACGGAAACTCCATCCTTGCAAGAAATAAGAGATGCACAGAAAAACCTCACTAATGGAAAGGCCCCTGGCGCAGACCAAATTACTGCTGAGATGCTCAAGGCACACCTTGAGCTGACAAGTATTGAGCTAAGATGGATTTTTGACTTCATTTGGCAGAAAGAAGCAGTTCCTACACAATTGAAAAAGGACTCATTTGCAAATTTCCACAGAAAGGCAACCTACAGGAAAGTGGAAATTGGAGGGGAGTTACGTTGCTGCCACTGGCCAGCAAGGTGCTCAGCAGGATCCTGATCAACAGGATACAGACAGGAGTGGATTCATCACTCAGGAAGGAACAAGCCGGCTTTCGGACAGGCAGAGGAACTGTGGACCAGATATTCATTCTCAGGAATATCTTGGAACAAGTCAACGAATGGAATGCTACATTGTACATCCACTTCGTCGACTTTGAAAAGGCCTTCGATTCCATATACAGAGACAGCCTTTGGATCATCATGCGTCAGTATGGAATCCCTATGAAACTGGTCCAGATGGTCAAGACCCTTTTTGAGGACTTCCAGTGCTCGGTGATTGATGAGGGCGAAACAACCGAGTGGTTTCCAGTGATGACCGGAGTGAAACAGGGCTGTTGCATGTCAGGTTTCCTTTTCCTCCTTGCAATCGACTGGGTAATGCGGCGAACAACAGATGGGAAGAGAACTGGAATCAGATGGAACTTCACAACAATGAGAGAAGACTTTGATTTTGCTGATGATCTTGCCCTTCTTTCATCTGCCATGAACCATCTACAACAGTAGACAGCAAGGCTTGAAGAAAATGCTGCCAAAGTAGGGCTGAAGCTCAACGACAAGAAATGCAAGGTGCTGAAAGCTAACAGAGGGAATGAAGAGAAGTTGAAAGGTGCGAGGGAATGAAGTAGAAGAGGTAGAGAGCTTCACATATCTTGGAGCCAATGTGACAAAGGACGGAGGAGAAACAGCGGATGTTCAAAAGAGAATAGCCTTAGCACATCTGGCAGGCTGGAGACATCAACAGAAAGGTCTCCCTTTTTAAAAGCCTCATACTATCGGTGTTGCTCTATGTGTATGAGACTACGAAATTGACCAAGGGAGAGGAAGGAAAACTAAATATATTTCAAAATAAGTATCTGAGAAGGATATTCATGATTCGATGGGAGCAGCACATCTCGAAAAAGACAGTTCTGGAGATGCCAGGGACAGTGAAGATAAGCCAGGAGGTGAGAAGAAGGAGATCTGGATTGGACACGTCCTGAGGAAGGATCAACGGGATGGCTGTGCTGCGGCCCTCGGATGGACACCAGAGGGAAAAAGGAAAAGAGGCCGCCCAAAAACAACTTGGCGAAGAATAGTGGAGGTGGAGCGGAATGGTGCTGGCTGGAGTACCTGGAACTCTGCATCGTGACTCTGGGACAGTCTTCTATTCCAACATTGATATCTGGGAGGTCTTCTTTTAGTTCCCAGTGTAATAGTTCCAATGCCCTAGAACTTAATTTAAGTGAACTTTGTTAGGGCCGGGGTCCTAGGGTCAGACACTTTACACACCAGTATCCTCACACAGGAGGGCTTTCTCTGAACTCTCATCGATCACAACATACTCTAACAGCAAAGTTCACACCACAGTGGGAAGTCTTCTGACGTAGCGGTGATCCCGTGCTTGGGATCTGGAAGTCTGATGTCGTATAGTTGATCTCTGGGACAATCTTTTGTCTCGGGCTCTGTGGCAGACTTCTGTCTTAGCGTTGACATTGGACTCTGAGACTGTCATGAAGCTTTCTTTTCTGCTTCGGCTTGGAATGTTGAAACGCAAATGTAACAATTTCCTTTTTATTTGAACATATTTAAGCACAAACTATTACAAACTTAGAGGAGTTCTCTCTCCAAATAAGATTTTACATATTTAGTGATATCGACATGTACGTTATACATTAAATGCAAAAAGAAAACAAAATACAAACAGCAGCAAGAACGAGAAGAAGAAAAAGAAGAAAGAAGTTGAAAGATAAAAAGATAAGAGGTAGTAACGGGATGGATAGAGTGGAATTCGGATGGTATAATGTTCATTCAAGATTTGTCAAAAAAAAAGAAGAAGAAAAGTCAGTAATCTATATAACATCATTCCGTTTGGTCCTTTCTCTGATCACTCATGTTCTTTCTTACTTATTCGAAAAGTCTGCGCCAAGGACTTTAGTTGGTTTTACTATTCTCAAGGTATCTTTTATTTCCGAATTAGTCAAATGAATGGATGCGAAGTTAGAATTAGTTCTGGAATTAAGGGGCGTAAGGACAATAACTATTTAAAAGTTAGGACTTTTCTAAATCATTGTATAAAATGCTATAATTTTGGTGATCAACAAATAGGTGATTTTTTTTCTATTTGCCGCTTGTTTTGATCGCCTCCAGTTTCCAATAAGACTTTTTGATATCATGTACTCTATTTCTAGCTCTTAACATTGACAGTTGCAAATGCTGTAAATCTTATAAAGAATATTTTGAGTAATTACCCTTAACATCTATCATACCGCGAGATATCTTAAAAAGTACCCAGATAAGCTTTAGAAAGAATAAATTCCAGGAAAAGTGTCAAAATAATTACAAAAATATCAAATATTTAAATAACCAGTATTCGATACTGTTTTACATAGATTAATCCTATGGAACTTCTGTCTTGTGGAATATCGATCGTGTCCACACAAATAAATCATTGTGGATTTTTATAGTACAAACAGTGAAAAATGAATCAGAACAAAAAACAAGCAAATGTACAACACATACAGGTCAGCCCATGATGACCGTGTAGTTTTTATCCGTTTTACATTTACATGTTTTAACACTGGTTTCGTCACAAGCTTTATATTCTCCTCATTCTGTTAATTTCTACATAAAAGTAATTCTTTCGTTGATGAGGATTTCTTACATTGATCAGTCTCATACAACAGGATGACTTTACCAAAGATGTAAATACTTTGGTATTCCTTTTCCACTTGGTCTCTCATGATATAAATTGTAAAAGAAGATCAAACGTGACGACCTGCTTAAAACGAAAGGGGTCCAGTCGCTCAGTGCTTCCTTTCAAATGTAAGACTTCTATATCGAAACAGTGAAAATGGGGAAAATTTGCTTCAAAAAATTGTACATTTGACCTGCCAAAAAAAAAAAAAAAAAAAGAGTCGAACGAATTTAATTTTCACCTTCGTTTCACCTCACCAATAGTCAAAAGCGAGTCAAAATCAAAGTTACTTCGGCAAACTATTGAGATATTCTTACTTTAAAAGTTTTCAGATATTGTTGAAGAGTTTTAGCATTGCTAGCAAGGTGCAGATATGTTCACAGTGTTCAACTATTTCAAGTCCACAAAACACGTTAAAACAAATGATACAGCTGCGTGGCAATCTTTATCGACGACCACTATGAGTCTACAGGGTAAGTGTAATCTCGGTATGTTTTGCACTACATGCAATTGTTTTCGTTGCGATCACATATACGCTCAGTGTCTACAGTGCAAAACATACCGAGACTGATATAAAGCATTTTTGATATTTTAATCACCATCTTCCATACAACAACTTGGGATGGATTTAATGGGCCTTCGGCGTCCATCGGCCGAAGGGATTATCGAGACACCTAAATTTACATCTTCACTCTCGATTTAGATTTATAACTTTGTATTTGTTTTATGTTCTTTGTATGTGATGTAATTTGTGTAATATATGCGTCTTGATAAATGGGCAGGTTGCCTCGAAAATTTGACAATTCGCTTGTCCATACTGTCGCTATTTCTTCAATGATAATTTATTCCATTAATACGCATCCAACAAAAATTTGTTTTTTAAGATCCAGTTTTAATATTGAACCAAACCGTCAATATTACTTACTATACTATATATGAGAATAGTTTTGACACATTTTGGACAAATTAGGATCTCATTAAATGATGTCTGATAAAAATTATACTTAAGTATCTACTAAATATATGCATCAAACTATGACACAATATTGAAGTTTGCCCTTTATGTTATACCATTGGTTTATTTCCACTAATTTTGTAGTATATAGTATATCTCTAGTCAGTGGTAGGTTCTGTATGTTTTTGCGTGTCACGAAAAATCTTGCAATGTGATGGTTAATTTTTTCACAAAATGAAAGTAGAATAATTAGTAATCTGGAGTTCTTTCCCTTGGTTTGTTTCTCCCGGAAGTTCAGGAAACGTGTGGGTTTCGTTGAGTTGTTGTTGTTTCTCTAATCAAGATAATAGAGGCCAAACATAATGGAGGACGATAGCTCTGACGAAGATCTCATGCAACCTGCTCTTCTGGTCGACGGTGAAGAACTCGGAGATGAATTTGATCTCGACGTACCTCCGACATCGGGCAGCGAATATCTCAAACGAGTCCGGTAAAATCAGCATTCTGCAGAGATAGGTTTATCGAATCCACCGGGAATCATTTCTTCAAATTTTATCTCAATAAATATTGGTGTGGAAAAGAATCTTATGAAATCAAATAAAACAGTAATTTTAAAGAAAATGTTTGACAAATCACAATATTTAATCCTGTTCGTACAAGTGGAAAAACAATATGATATACTTTTTTATTTCTTCTGCGTTGAGTGCCTCCTTTGGAACCGAGTATATCGGCACTATTAAAGCTTTTTGGATTCAAACCGTGTCACCATATCCATCAGTGTCTATAAGTATGATAATTCGTTACCTGAGTAAAACTTCGTCACACACACTAACATCTTACATATTTGGTGACTTTAAACTAGATTTCTAGATTTCAATTTAAATCAAAAGTTAAATCTAAACCATGTACTTTAAATCCTGGAATACTCTTCCTTAAGAAGAAGTCTCCATCCCTTAATTATTCCAAGTCCTGTATAACAGCTATTGGCATAATATCTCTCTTAAGTTATGTCTGTTTTCATTTATTTTTATAGCCTGACACAAACTTTAATTGATTGTTTGAATTATTTTAACATTCTGGAAACACCTTCTTATATCTACCATTTATTTATTTTACAACAATTGTGAAACAAGTTACAGGTGACCCTTATCTTTTCATGTCAGTTACGGAAATCAAACCCTGGATGGCTGGGTGAAAGGTGAGTGTGTTACCACTGCGCCATCATGACCGCCTGCATCAGAATACTTTGGATGATGTAAATAGTTATAGAATCACCAATAGCACACAACATAAATTTCATCGATTACAATATTTCTATTGTTTTGTTATTTTCTCCAGACAGGAAGCTAAAGGCTGTCCAAAAGTAGTGGTTGCTCAAGTGGATCAGGCAAGATTTCGTCAAACTGTTCTTATAAATCAGGTTAGTCACATAAAACTAACATCAATAATATTGTGTCAGTGATTTTTAAGCTTATAGGAACATTGTACAAGTAACAATTGAATATAAAATTCTAGATTCAGAAAAAGGTGTATAGATACAATTCTTCTGATTGACTTTGAATTTGATGTTGGATGCTCTTTAGTTTCATTCTTTTTAATTCTTAATTTCAATCTACTCAAGATATCTGGACATAGCACTGTTGTACACTAGAGAAGCACCATATCAATTGGCTAAATAAAATCTAAAAAGATTAATGATGTTTTTAACTGATGACACTGTCAACTATGCTGTCAAATGTGTAGTTCACAAACATCAATTTTTTCAGCTTAAGGATAGAACTTAAAGACAAAGTATAAAGATACATACACACAAATGACAAAGATGTTACTCAGGAATTTTCATTTTGTATTGAATTATGCCCTACTCCTTGTCAAACTCGATATTCATACAATGTACATTGTCAATGACAATGATATGACTTCTCTTTGTTTGATATATGTAATGTACCTGAAGTTGGAAATGTAATAAATGTTACATTTCAAATTCAAACTGTTCAATTATATTGTTTCTTCAGTGGTGTCATCTGTACCTCAAAAAACAAACAAAATTTCATTCTTAATTGTTTATGGAAAGTTATAGCAACAAGTCACTCTACTCAAAATTCTCTTTGAAGTGGTTGACATGGGTTCTTATCCTCTGGATGTGAAATAATCTTTCTATTTCTTTTGCACACATCATTTGAACAGTATATCAGAGTAGCTGGAAGCCGTGTCATAATATTCCCTTCAGACAACTTAGTTGATTTAAATTTTGGGGCTGATATATCTAAGTATCAAAAAGTTTCATATGGCATCTTAAGAAATAGCTACATGTTAATATTATCAAAAATTGGTAGAGAGTGATATAGTGTGTGATATACAATACATACTGGCTCATGAAATGTCAGTGATTTAGGAAAACTTTTCCTGTAACACAACTAATTTGACTGTTTAATATAGATATCAGTGTAAAACAAACAACTTTGTTTATAACATTAATAGGCGACAAGCTGTCTGCCTGCTCCTAGAGGGTTCGCTTTTGACCTGGCTTGGCAACGTACTCAAGTTGCTAACTTTGCACATCTGAGACAGGTAAACGCTTTTACTTTGTAAAACTTTTTCACTAATCAGTGAATGAACGTTTTAAAAGTTTTTGAAGAAATAGCTATGAATGTTTTACATACAATTTTTTATACAAGTTCTTTTTGTCTTTTGTTGCCACAAAATCATGAAAAATGCGTGTAATGAATATTTATTTTGTTGCCAATCTGAATGACAAAAAACCATAACTTTTGAGAATGAATTAGATAGTAGAAATGAAGTTCAGAATTTATTGTGTACAGGTAAGATAGAGTACCACATAGGACCAGTAATGAACTGAGTAACATTGTTAACATGACACTCATGATTTCAAATGCATTTAATGTTGTATGTCCCATTTAACCTTTTAAAAAAATAATTTTCAGAACTTGGCAAGACAAAAGGCTCTTCGGAAAAAGCATTCCATTGTTGAACAAAAGACATTGGTATGTTTGATCTATCCATGGAATTAAACTACTCTGGTTGATATGCAGTAAATCTCCAGTATAATGGGAGAAGATCTTATTGAATATATGTGTGATGAAGTTCTGTATTTGTGTTTTGTAAATTCTTGTCTTATACCATTTTATAGGTAACCCAAGCCCATACTGAAAGTTCTGGAAATACATTTGTATATGTATTATTTTCCTTCTTTAATGAGACCATTGGTTTTCTCATAGGCCATGATCACTGATACATCAGTTTGTAATTAAGTGTTCAATTAAGTATAGAATTCTTAGCTTTCTAACCTTGCTTGCATTCGATGTTAGATAAAGATGATCACACCAAAGTATCGGTGAACTTACATGAAAGCATATCTGTCAATTTTTTAATATTTTGTATGGCAGCCTGCAGGCAATGATGTTGAGGGTTGGTGTCGTTTGTGTTTTGGGAGACTGCAACCACCAGGGTCAAGGCCACAGGAAGTGGTGTTAGAGGAAGGTGAAGATCAGACAGAGACGGGGACACTTCCTTTCCTCAGCATCGTCATGGCAATGGATCAGGTGAATGATGCTGGTGCCTGAAGCTTGTTTTATTGTGGTCATTGTGTGATTCAATTCCAAAAATATTTGATGTGAATCATTCCTTAAAAAGATATACCGGTAAGCTCTTTTATCTGACAATAAACCAATGTCTGGTAGCAAGACTAGATATATAGATATTGCTACTCTGTTGAATCTTAAACAAAACCTATTCATTGTCTTGAAACTAGGCCACGCCATGACTATGGAAGAAGAAATATTGTGGAACCTGATTGAATTTGAAGGATAAATACAGTATCTGTATGTATTTGAATTAACAAAAAGTAGTTAGATTTATATTGTTGTCTTTTGTTGACAGTCTGTTCTTGTCAAAGTGCTGGAGTATCATGTTAACTGGTTTGAGGCCACTGGATTTACAGAAAGACAGGTTTGTATCTAATGTAAATTTATCTGACCTCATGTTCAGCATCATAGAGGTAGGTGGTTGAGTAGGCATCCATCTTTATTACTAGCCTTCCAACTGTGGGTCATGGGTTCAAGACTTTCGTGGGGCAGTCACAAGGTACTGGACGCAGGTCAGTGGTTTTTCTGCTAGAACTCTGGCTTTCTCCACCATCAAAAACAGGCATGTCTTTAAAAGACCTTTACTGTTAATAAAATGTAAAACAATAGTAAAATTATCAACAGAGGGATACAAGTTCTATAACACTACAGCTGACGGACATTCATTGATAAATTATCTTTATGCATGGTCCTTTTGAAACTTGGTAGACTCTAAAGCCATGAGGTGAAACTATGTTTATGCTATAGTGCGGCGTCCGTCGTCCATCTGTCCTGTGTCCGTCAGCTTTTCATTTACATAACTTCTTCTGAAATACCGAAAGGCGTAGAGTTATCATATTTAGCTGGAAGGGTCCTTTGATGAAGCCCAACAAAGTTTACAAAAAAGGAAAAATGACCTTAACCCATATTCAAGATCACAGAGGTCAAATGTTTTAAAACTTTTAAACGACTTCTTCCAAAACACCGGAAGGCCTAGAATCATTATATAAGGCTACTATGTTCCTCTTATGGTGTTCTACAAAGTTTGCTAAAAGAAATGACCTTGACCAATCTTCAAGGTCACAGTGGTCAAATGTGTTAAAATGTTTAAACAATTTCTTCTGAAATATCGAAAAGCCTAGAATCATTATATTTGGCCAGTATGTTCCTTTTATGAAGTCCAAGAAAGTTTGCAAAAAGAAATCACCTTGACCCATATTCAAGGTCACAGATGTCAAATGTGTTAACAAACCTTTAAACGACTTTTTCTGACTAACTAAATATCTAGAATAGTGATATTATGCCAAATTAGGTTCTCAATGATGCCCAATAATATTTGGGAAAAGAAATGACCTTGACCCATATTCAAGGTCACAACGGTCAATTGCGTTAAACCTTTGAACAACTTCTGCTTAACCAAAAGACCTTAAATCATGATATTTGGCCAAAAGGTTCCCTTTATGGTGTATGAAAAAATAGCTTGACCCATGAAAATATTTAAGGTCACTGGGGTTAGATTTGGCAAAATCATTAACAACTTCTGATTGACCAAAGGCTATCATATTTGGCCAGTGGAAGTTTCACAAAGGCTTATATACAAATATGTAGAACCTTCCAATGACTTATTAAAGAAAGATATATGGCTGTGAATTTTCTTGGCATAATTTGGAATAAGTTATAAAGACCTTTCACAGTGATGTCACACTATTCCAAAAAATAGATTAGGCCAAGCCCCCTGGAGGTCTGAGAGGCTTGAGCTAAGTAATGTGAAAAACTACATGTTAGCCAATTACGTATGTTCTGTTCACAGCATTGAAATACAGAAAACATGATCGGAAAGAGAATTGCAAGAGTTTCATTTTGATTTAAGATTCTTCATAATTACAGCATAAATCAATAAGAAATTCTAAGTTGATCCCATTTGCTATGCAGTGTTTATGGGCCTACAGTAAACTGTTATCAGTATATCTCCAGTAACCAGGGCTTAACTGACCATGGTGACATCACTAAAGATATGCATGAAACGTTTTATTATTGGTTTTGAGTTATGATTATGGTTTATAATTACATGTACATTAATTTTTCCTGTCTTTATATTTAATTGTTGCTATATATTGTTGACTTGTGCAAGTCTCAAATATGTTGTATCTGTGTTTGTAAACAATGATCAAAAGGGCAAGTAAGCTTCTGCTGTCCTGGGTCATCCGTCCAGCTATAACAAAGAATTTTTCTGCTATATTGTTTGACCATCTTCTTTCCTTGATTTAAAAGAAAGCTATCAATTATATTTAACTGGAAACATCATAGGAAAGTCTCAATTCAACATTGCACAGATGAGGGGGCTGACTACTAAGGGACAGAACCCATATGGAGTAATTTGTCATATTGCTTTAAGCATCTACTGTGAAACATATGCACAGATATAGTACTGTTGGTCATAAAGATCCAAATGAGCGATACAGGCTACCTGGGCCTCTTGTTTTTGAACAATGTTTGGATTCAACAATTTTTGTAAAAGTTATTGCCATATGTCCTTTTTCCAATTTTTGGCCCCGATATGGAGGTCTTTCTTGGTTTAAGAATATTCTCTTGATCTAACCCCAGTATTGGTTGACTATTTTTCATTTCTCCTTCCTATTACAGATTTAGTGCCGTTGACCACTATAAGGGTAGAAGCTATAAGAGACTGAGATGTTTCCTTGCAGATATTGAACCTGAGTTGTTGTTGTCTTTGGGTTCAAAGACTTTGTGAAGGAGTTGAAGAGAACATGTCACCTTACTAGCGTCTGTTATTGGGAATTTCTCTTTAGTGGAGCAGTGTCCAGCTAGAAACCAAAGGTCCCTAGTTCGAACCCTAGGATATTCATCATTACTCCTTCCTAGTACATCTTGCTCTGTGAACAAGATGATTTCTATGAAATATATTTAACACTGCAAAGAACAGCTTTTATAGAACTCAGGTGACCAGAATGCTCCTTTGGCCTCTTGTAGACAGATGTTCTTCATGAACCTTGGCAGTCTTCATAGATAATATGTAGTTGCATTTTCTTATTAGCATTTAAATAAGACCCTTTACATTCACTTACACATGGGTTAAACATATATACATGTATTGTTGTTCAGTGCAGTGATGTTAAAAGGATTTTGACTCTTTATTTTACTCTGAATGATAACATTGATTGCGTTACAGGATATGGGTTGTAACATTGGTGGTGTGTTTCAAGGATGCTAGATCTACACTTTGCTTTGAGTGCCATACAGGGATGTGTTTTACACTTTTTACATGTTCTACTTTTCAGGGTTGTTGGTTCTATGCCCTGCTAGCCTGCCTACAGAAACCTTTGATACCTGAAGCCTGTTCACTTCTTCGTTCCCTAGCGAGAGGGGCAGCCAATCTGAGAGCTACTCTGGTGAGTTCTTGGATTCTGATACCCCTCTCCATCACTTGGTTTTCAATATCATGATTGATCCATGAGCGGGGAAACTTAAGACAATCTAAATCGAACTTGATAGAAATCTTCTGATTGCTTTTAAAGTCCAGACAATCATTGTGAAGTAAAAAATTGACAATGTCTCTGTTTCTTCGGGTCTTGTTTATGTTCTAAGTTTTACATTAAATTGTGGTTTCATTATTTATATCTACAATCTCATCCTGGAGAATGTTTTCATTGATTTCTATGGAAAATTTTCAATTATATGTATATCATATATATTTTTTTCAGGACTCGGCAGATAACCCGCATCTGGTGCCACTGAACCTATTCATCTGTTTAGTGTCACATTACTTCGACCAATCAGATTTAGCTGATGCAGTATCTTGACATCGACATCACAATCTAAGTGCTTATTGAATTTTGTTTCAGTTCATCCACATCAAATAATACAGCAAACAGAAATGCTGAAGAGTTGTCTGGAAAGAAATTTTCAAAATTTAATTCACCCATTCCTGAGGAAAATGTGCTCCATTTGTAATAAGTGTATCTAAGTTGCATTTTTAGAGGATGAAACTGTTGTGGATTAAGTTAGAATGGATAAAATATCTGTGTCAAATAATGAGTATGCAACTTTGTTCCAAACTGAAAAAACCTTAGATTCAACAGATAGTAGAGAAATGAAGTCGAAGATGATTGAAAAGACTGTTATCAGAATGAGGAGTATAGTGTTGGAATGCGGATATTTAACTTGATTGTGTATGAAAACTTGGTAAATGTGGTTATGAATGTAGGTAGTGTGACATTGCTGTGTATGCCACGAGAACAGTAAAGACTGTGAGTTTATATGTTTGTGTGAAATTCAGAAACTTGTGTAATGCTTCATATTGGTAATGTTGCTGTGTATGTAGTCCATCGAATATTTGTTGTACATGTATGATGGAAAGTGTATGTGGATGATTGCTTTCTCTTGTATGTAAATCTAGAGTTGAAGTTATGTGCATTTTAACATGGAAGTGTATATCATGATATTTTATAATAGAAAAGTTGAACTCAGTTTTAGGAAAAAATGTATTTTATGTTAAATAAAAGCATACTTATTCATCAAGTCTTTGAGTTATGACATAAAACCAGTAAGAATTGTAAGTTACAGTCTCATAGACAGAACACATTTAACAGGACTGTAAAATCATATTTTTGATGGGCTCAAGTTTCATGGTTTTTCAAAAGAACAATGCATTGGCACTTATTTTCTTAAAACAGTACACACAAAAACCATTTGTAAGTATAAACTGAACAATATATCATGTGGCGAACAGATTTATTTCTGGATAAAAAATCAATAAAAAAGTGATTCCCACAGGAAAATTTTGTAGATTTTTCAGTATCGCATCAACTGAGTAGTAGTTTGTATTTGTTTTCGTCCAGATCATAACCTCATGGTATCTAATATAGGTTGCTTTTGCTAAAGCAATTAAAACTTCTGGATCGACTAAACCTGCAAAGGAAATGCGAACCATAGATTGGAACACACACAGGACTGCAGAATTTTCTGCACATGCAGTTGGAGGGAGCCAATCATTCTCAACAGAAACTGGTTGAACATCATTAATTTCCTGAATTTTTTTCTAAACCAAGATTGGTACAAATGCATATTTCTGGGAATGTTGATATTCAGTACAGGTTGATATGGAACATATTTTCGTGTTTTAAGCCTACCATCATGAGATGGTGGGTTATTCAAATCGCTCTGCATCAATGGTCAGTCCTTGCATCTGTTGTCTGTCCATCTGTAAACAATTTTTGTTATCGTTATTTCTTGAGAAGTCCTGGATTCATCTTCCTTAAATTGCATATGTAGGTTCCCCTTGGTCCCTTGTTGTGCCCGTGTGATTTTGGGACTGATCTAAAAACCAAAATGGCTGACAGTCAGCCATCTTGGATTTTTTCAATAAAGCTTGTTATTGCTATTTCTTGAGAGGTACTGAGTTGATCTCTCTCAAATTTCATATGTAGGTTCCCTCCTGGTCTCTTGTTGTGCCCATGTAATTTTGGGACTGATCAGAAAAACAAAGAGGCTGACAAACAGCCACCTTGAATTTGTCTAGAAAAGGTTGTTATTGCTATTTCTTGAGAAGTATGGGATGGATTTTTCTTAAATTGCATATGTAAGTTCCCCTTGGTCCCTAGTTGTGCCAGTATGATATTGGGTCTGAACAGAAAAATGAAATGGCTGACATCAATGAAGATTGTTATTGCTATTTCTTGAGAGTTACTGAATGGATCTTTCTCAAATTTCATAGGTAGGTTCCCCTTTGTCCTTTGTTGTGCCCATTTAATTTCGGGTCTGATCAGAAACACAAAAAAGCCGAAAGGCGGCCATCTTGGATCTTGACTTTGAAAGTGTGTTATTGCTATTTCTTGAGAAGTTCTGGATAGATCTTTCTCAATTTTCATATGTAGGCTCCTCTTGGTCCCTAGAAGTACTGCATGGATATCTTTTAAATTTAATTTGTATGGTCCCTTTGGTCTCTCCTTGTTCTCATTTGATTTTGGGACTGATCAGAAGAAAAATGGCTTCCAGGTGGCCATTTTGGATTTGGCAGGTAAAGATTATCATCGCTATTTCTGCAAAGGAATGTTCACTTGTCTTATCATTAAGAGCAAAAACAGGAGAGAAGAGAAATGAAAGGAAAACATCCAACTTTCAAAGAGCATACAAAGATTAAACAATGGTAGGTGCCAAGATCCCTCTCGGATCTCTTGTTAATCAATTTGCACTTCATTTTCATAATTTTATAGATTTTGGAACAAGAATATAGGAAATGGCAGAAATGTATGTTAAACCCTATTCAAATACATGTTTATACAATAAAATTTGGATTTTGTTACAATGAAAACAATCAGAAATAATCCTAACAAAAGCTTAGATAACAAGGTTTACCTCTTAATGGATAGTCATATTGGCAAATAGATAATGTTAAAAAACAGTAGTGGATCGGATTGAAATAAAAAAAAAAAAACACACAAAAATCAAGAAAACAAATGATTTATTTCTTTCCAGATTCATGTTTTTTCATATTAAGAACTTTTTTGTTTATATGCAAATGTGACATGTTTACAAAATATTCCTATTTTTAACACTAGACTAACAAAGCATAAAAAAGAACTGTCAGTTACTATGATAAGCACTTTGGCACCAGCCACAACAAACACTTTTGTTTAAATAGTTTGAGACAAAGTAGATTACAAATAAAGGAGCATGAAACATTGCCTACTGTCTGTCTGTGAAAATCCATACCAAAATCAAAGTGTGGTGGAGAAAATATTGAAAAATTACACTCCCAAAATGTTTCATGGAATGAGGACACAGAAAGTGTATATCAATCCATACTTCATTTGAACCCTGGATTCTATTACTTAAAAACTCTGTCTTTCTTTTATCATATGCTACAGTGAATATAGATTCAATATTGAGGGAAACATTCTCAAATGATAAAACTGATATTTTAGTAAAAGCAAGAAAAAAAATCCATGTGTAGATAAAAACAATTGGTTTTGATCCATCAGGTGTCCTGATATATCTGATATATCGGTACTAAGATTAAATCTATTCTCTTTAACTTAGAAGTTTCCAGGTTTTTTTTTTTTTGGTTTGTTTTTTTTTTTTTGTTTTTTTTTTTTTAAATTGCTCTAGATACCATGATGGCCATTTTAGTTCCTTCAAAACTACACATTTACAAGAAAGGTGCTCCACATTATGTTTCACTTCATTACTTTCACACAGCTTTTCATACATCCCACGATATCATGGATAACAATCTACTACGACAATATTTCTCTTACATACTCTAAACATGCTATGTTTTAAGCAGCCTTATGCTGGTTCATAACAGTACCACGCAGCAATTCAAAGTTCTTGTTTGGGTATTCAGCTATTGCAAAACAGTCATTCCTGAAGTTCAATAAATTACCTATCATTGTATCATCACAATTTCAATGAATATGTCAATTACAATGACACAAATAATTATGTCTGCATAAATTTTCTTAATCATCTTGATTACGCAACAGAGAAAAACATAGACTGAGGTATGTTAAAATGATTTAGTAACAATACTTCTACAATTCTAAATGCAATGCAAGTCTTACCATGCTGTGCATTTATTTCATACCATTTCAAATTTTTGGACTATATTCCAAACGTATAAACCCAGACATTTATTACATAGCTTGAACATTCTTTAATTTTGTGGGACTTATATTTCACTGTATTTCTGTTTTGGACTGGTTCACAGTTATAAAATTTCGTGCCTGTCTATGTATTAGTGTCCATGTATAACAGCATACATACTTTCTGAGATTTTCATTAGTAGTAGAAATGTTTGCTAGGTATTTACTTTGTAGTGAAATTAGTGTAATAATGTTAAAAGTGAATTTTTAAAACAGAGGGAAACTTATGTATCTCTCATTTCGACATAACACAAACAATTGCTGACATGACCCATGGCACAGCTCTCTGCTTGACAACACACGACCATTCATTTGATCTGTTAACATTGACACACACATAAAACATTTAATAACCGGGAAATATTAAAAACAAACAATCTGACTAAAATATACATTTTCAGTCATGGAAATCAAAAGAATCTTTTGAATATTAGTTTAAAACTATATCAGATTTTGAAGCATAAATATATTTCATATAAACACTCTTCCAGTGGTTTTCATCATCTTAATTTTGAAATATTTTGAATGGCAAACTTTACTTAAAATAGGCTTTTACCCTCATTTTGCCAGCTTGTCAATGCACTCAAAAAACTAAACTAAATCTTAACATTGTTATGTCATCCTGTCTCATCATGGTATTCTTAAAATTGCATATCAATATTTAAGATGGAATTTTTACCAAAAAAAGTCTGAAGACACTGGCTAACAAAAATAAGATATCACAGTCAAGTTCTTTTTACACTTCAAGTGTGCTAGTATACTAGAAAAACTGGATCTCATGAAACCCTGCGTTAAAGCTGTAGTTAAGCTTTTCATTTCCAAGTTGCAGACCTTCATCATCCTCTCATATATAATTGTGTTGGTTTATCTATACATGTTACACTTTTTCACCAGAGAATCTCTGTACCATTACATCCAAAAACTGCATACATTACTGTAAGAGTTGTTCTTTTTGAGGGATTTATAGTCGGTTTCATTTTTTTTGCAAAATGAAACCTTTTGTGTTTTTCCTCTCTTTTTTAAATGTTCAATTTTTTTTCTGAAGCAGAGACTTAGTCTGACCATTTATGTATGATGTGTTGACTATAAGTTTCCTTTTTGTTGAGTCTGATCTAGGAATATTTGTACGAAAAACAGATCATCAAGGGAACTGTCCTTTAAAGTGGTAAATTCCTGTTCATAAAAGGATTTTTCAAGATCTTTACTGTAAGGATATTTACAATAAATTTATAATAACATAAGGGTAACCAGGCCAAAAATTACTGAAATATTCAGAAAAAGAAAAGCACTTTCCATCCTTAATTATTTACCTTTGGGATAGCCCTAAAGTCACCCTCTACCCTAGTCTCCCTCCTATTTATTTCTAGTACAGACCTACCTTAGAGGGGCTCTAAACAGGATTAACAAGACACCATGATCGATTTTAAACCCATGATATATACTGTGGTATATATTGGTAACAGTAACTACTTTGTATATCTGTGTATCTGAGTCTAGATGCACATAATGATACACAGGTGCATGATAAATGGCAACCTGAAAATTATGCCTGAAAAGATACAAAGATATTTAAATACACAAACAAGTAGCCAGTAACACTGATGTACAACTATTTTGTCTGTCAAACACAATTATGTTCTTAAGTGTCTCAGTGATAAGCAATAAATGATATTCTTGTTTTGCACCACCATTAGAATGCCCAGCAGAATAGCCAGGAATGGGAAAATGTTCTAATACTATTTTCAAATATTCAGCCCTAATGTTTAGCCTTTGTCAATCCTTGTACTTGAGGATTTGTGGTTTCTGGTCCCTTATGGATGCTGGACCATGCAGTGATCTTGCTCTCTTGAGGAAGGACATCACCATCTGCTTGACCACCTGGTCAAAGAACATATGGGATGCGTTGGAGTACAGTGCAGACCGGAACTCAAATGAAACCTAAGAGTAAAAAAAAAAAAAACAGCTATGATGAATTCATATCTTTTCCCAATATGACAGACATCATCCCCTACCGCCAGTGTGCCTCAAACTGTTTCACACTTGAATTCAGTTCATCAGTCAGTGCATTATTTGCAACTGAAGTATTTGCAAGACCAAGCACATCATTCATGCATATTCATTTCCCTTTCAGAAATATGAGTGGAGTACTTACAGAAAAATCCAGGGTACATGAGTTGGGATTGCCTGGGATACCTGGGCTGAACTTCCATATTGTCAAAAGATGGTTAAACAATACACCATCAGTACACTCCGACTGGAAGCAAAGAATATTGACATGAAATTTAAACTGCTCACTTGAAAATTAACATCCAATTCATAAAGATTTTATATTAAATGTAGCTTTTGTTCATTGCAATATATTTATTCATTTAAACAATTAAAAGGAAATCCTGGTCAGATCTTAGTATCATCTTCAGAAAATGAAATGACCACAAAAATAATCCAAAATTTTTAACAAGAGGCCTATTGGCTTGAGATAAGCAATATTGAACATAAAGGTTAAAGGATAGTTATCAAGTGTCATGAAATAGAAATTGTGACGCTGAATATAGAAAGCTAGTGTCAATACATGCATACCATAAAAACTGTCATCCTATACTGATAATTCTTATTTTCCAACGTTATGGTCAAAAATACAGTTTTTCTATGAAAATTACAGTGTAGTCTAAAAAATACATATTCCTCTCCGGAAAGAAATGTGAGACTCAAGATGCTCCCATTCATGAATAGCAGTTGATTATACCATATCTGGGTCTTCAGAAGAAGATTTCTGAAATTTAAGTCAATTTGACCCTTTTTGGCCCTGCTTATCAGCCCCTGGGGGTCAGTCGGGATCAAAATGGGCATACCATCAGGCCATCACCCTTCACTCATTATTCTAACCAAGTTTGAAATATTTCCAACAGAAATTAAACAAATTATGCCCAAAAGTCTAGTTTTCCTATATGAAATATAGTAAATTTTACCTCCTCCCCATGGGGAAATGTGAGATCCCAGGGGCCATGAAATTCACAATTTTGGTAAAGCACCTTAAGATGCTTTCATTCATGAAGAGTATTTGATTCTACCATATTTGGGTCTTGTGTCAAAGATTTTTGAAATCCGAGTCAATCTGACCCCTTTTTGCCCTGCCCCTCAGGCCCATGGGGGTGGGGACTGTATAACTCACAATTTTGGTTCATCTTAGGCCAGGGGAGGTTTCTGCAAAATTTCATTGAAATCAGATCAAAAAAGTGTTAAACTGTTTACAGACGCACCATGCCAGGATGAAGGGTATTAAATTAGATCACCGTGAGACTTTCTCGACTCATTTTCATTGATTTCACATGTACTCTTAATCCAGTAATGCATATGTCAACAAACTGTCGATGTTGGTATAAGTAAATTTATTGCAATATATTTGTAACATAGTGAATTGTACATCATTTGAATTTCCTTGTTGATATTCGTTCCCTAATGTTTTATCAATATAATGCTATATAGATATTGTCTATGTCACATGACAGCCATGTGATACAAATGTAAAATGTTGGTTAACACTACATGTGTATCAATGATATTAATTATTTTTGTTATAATTGTATTATATTCTATGGATAGGCTCAGTATACGCAACAACAAGTACGTAATTTAGATTTAAAGTTTAGTCACGGAATAAAACAAACTACATTAACCAATCAAATTTCAGCGATCAGTTCAAATCAATTTCTTTGTGATAGATCTGGCAGTTCGAGATCTGACAGACGGTTAGTACCTGTTTTCAAATGTCTGAGTTAGCAATTTGATTTGAAAGTAATATATCTGTTTGTGATTTGATATGTATAAATATAACTGAAATATGAAAAGTATGTGTTAACACAACTTGATGTATTTGTGATCACTGCTATTGATTAATATTTCACCTGTATCTACATATATGTAATTACATTGTAAGTGTTAATCAGTGTGTTCACTTCATTACTATTTAATAACGCCTGCGATAGTGTAATGGATAAGGTTGTGATGCTGTAATTTGAGATGATTTCTAATTCTCGTAGCCGAGGTTCCAATCTCGGAAGTTACTGAATTTTATTCTTGTATTCTTCATATATTGTAAGTTTCTAATGAAAAAGATTGTTTGTCCATCTCAGGTGTTCATCTCAGCAAGATTTATTGTGAAGCTAAGACGGATTATGCTATTATGTCTCGTCTACCTTACTTAGGGTGAGTTATTTTGTTAACACTGTTCTGATTACTGTTGACATAGGTCATGTTAATACACACTGTTGTAACTGTGTAACTTACGACGAATGTTTATGTAATCATATGTGAGATGTGACCATTAATGTAATTTCATGATGATGGTCAAAATGTTAATCATTCTCATTCTTATATTCTAATTTGTTAAAGGTGTGTTATTATCTGTGTTTCTATTGAATGCTATGTTTTTTAATATATTGCAGACAAATGCCTTTCGTCTGTAATTAAAATTAAAGAAGAATTGAACTGAAGATAGAAGCAGAGACTCTGTTGTTTTTTCTGCTGGTTACATATTTATCCACAAAATCAGGTGTCCATGAAATTGTTATTTTTTTTAAATACCACAAAAATTGGGCTCCATGTTTTCTGGATCTGATTTTGTTCAGTACACAACCAATATTATACACTTCTGGCCTTAAAAGTATATCTCCAAAAAACACAAATGTCCAGAATATTTCTCCTCACTTACTTTGACCAATCGTGGTTTTGCTAGGGTCACTATTGAGGTGTACCTCTCCAACAGGGGAGGGAACCCTATCTCAAGATTACACTTCAGCTGGCTTGGTCGTCTGCCTGTCACTGAAGACTTCTTACACCAAGGTACAAATTCTGGGTAATGCTCAACTTCAGATACAATCTGGTACATTTGTTCCATTGTGTACCTGCAATAAATCAGGGATATTTTGGTAAAAATCGTTTTAGGTAAGTTTCCTTCAGAAGCGTTTTAATGGAGGATATTTACTGAAAATTTTATCAATTCATTTAACAAATGCAGGAATGCTATGTACAAAAAAGAGCACTTAAATTGTGATGTACGAAAATATCCTATTATTTTTCAAAAAACCCATACTGTCAGCACATCACCCATGGACTCACAATCAGGAGGTTGGCTTCAAAATGAAATATCAGCCTTTCACCATCTACTTATCATAAGTTAAACACAAAACAGCATATAAATATGGGCAAGCATATTACCAGACATGGGCTGAATGACAAATAAATGTGATACAGTGTTGTCATTAAAAGTCTGTTGCCAGCAGAAGTAGCCTTTTATTCATCAACAATGAACCAGCTTTATTTCAGAAGAGGTGTTGAATGATACTACAACAAATTGATATTTGGCCTGCTATTTTTATGATCAACCATTTTTTTTTCTTTTTAAATCTTAATGAGAAATGATCATGCCTTGAGAGTAGAATTCTGTTTTTTTTTGTTTGTTTGTTTATTTCTGTCATTTCATTTTAAAAGTTATAACTACAATTTTAAGACTGATCAAAGAGTAAATAACACAAACCCTAAAACTCTCCTCTCTGAATATTCCTTCCTTGTGTCAGAGACAATACCTGGTATACCAGGTACGGAGAAGAACTCTCGACTTTGCTGTTGATATACTTGCTGGAGTTGTCTATGTGACACATCCTCTGTGGAGTTGATGATTTTCGGAACAGTCACAAGACTTCTCTGGATCTGCACTTGATGACAGGGTGTTTTTGAATCGCTACCAGTTGTGTTATTGTTTAGATTATAATGAAAAGTACTAAGTAATCCACAGCACCTGAAATAATCAATCAGTCTGGTATAATATGATCCCAAACTCAGAGCTGTCAGTCAATCCTTGAATAACCCTTGGCAATTTCAGTCAAATCACAGATATGGAAATAGACTTATCCTTCAAACCCAAGAGCCAAAACTTAGTTTGTGGAGTCAGAAATATATATTTACAATTGTCGACCAACATGATTAGAACCAAGTCTAAATTCTGTACAGGTACACTAAGTTACATTTAACCCAGATACAATTGAAATACATCATATGTCTTTGTGAATCTAAATCATTTGAAATTTCATGTTTAATATCTTTTTGATGTACATTAAAAAATGATAACAAAGACAGAGTGAAATGGTTAAACATGATAATATCAACACATAAAACACAGGCTAGAGTGGCTTTATGCTGGATTTACAGTACTCATCTTCTAATAAACCCTAGCCAATGACGAAACATTTACTGACTCAAAGGGGTGGAGGCTTATTATACATTTGCTGGCATTTTTTCTGAAAAAAACATTATCACTGTTATTGGGTTTATTACCAGATATCAGTTTTTTACCAGATAGACCAATGGTTATTAATTGAACAGCACTTTTGGTGAAATTTCACTTAAGATTTAAGGAAAAATAAGTAGAATTTATATTGCTAATATCAGTATTGATTAGTGTTGCTGTTTGTAAATGATACAAAAATTATCTCTATTGTGATGAATTTCTATGGGATTGTGCTTTAATACCTGGTCTGAATGGAAGAGACTAAGTGTGGTACACATGCAATATTAATATTATATTTAAAGTAAGAGTACTTTTCTTATTCTTGTATGTTTAAAAACAATATCTTCACAGTATGAAAATCTAAGTCAACCAATCGCCAATGGCTATAGATGTGAAAATGGACTCAGATAAATCTTCATAAATTAAAAAATAGCTAGTATACTAGTCGTTAATTTAGTCTGTGGCAATCAGTCGTTTGACATTTTCATGGACAGAAGCTAAACCTTGTGGTCATCAGTCATCTGACATTTTCATGGACGAATGGACAAAAGTCTGGTGGCTATCAGTCATTTGACATTTTCATGGACAGAAGCATAGTCTGTGGTCATCAGTCATATGAAATTTTCATGGACAGCAGCATAGTCTGTGGTCATAATTCATCTGAAATTTTCATGGACAAAAGTCTGGTGGCTATCAGTCATTTGACATTTTCATGGACAGCAGTGTTGTCTGTGGTCATCATTCATCAGAAATTTTCATTGACAAATGGACAAAAGTCTGGTGGCTATCAGTCATTTGACATTTTCATGGACAGAAGCATAGTCTGTGGTCATCAGTCATCTGAAATTTTCATGGACAGCAGCTTAGTCTGTGGTCATCATTCATCTGAAATTTTCATGGAAAAACGTCTGGTGGCTATCAGTCATTTGACATTTTCATGGACAGCAGCTTAGTCTGTGGTCATCATTCATCTGAAATTTTCATGGACAAAAGTCTGGTGGCTATCAATCATTTGACATTTTCATGGACAGAAGCATAGTCTGTGGTCATCAGTTATCTGAAATTTTCATGGACAAATGGACAAAAATCTGGTAGCCATCAGTCATTTGACATTTTCATGGACAGAACCAAAGTCTAATGGTCATCAGATTTTGATTTATTGGACAGAATTCTGGTCCCTCAATCTATATGCATCAGACATCTGTACATCAAAGTGTGAAAAATGTGTGTTGATGAGTCGAAGAAAACTTGAAAAAGTAAATGAATACTGTTACACAATTAATGCAAAACATTTTTGGTTGTCTTCAACTTTCATGTTAAGACCTGCTACCAATTAATTGTTAGATTGGTTAAATTGTCCTCCAAATGTAAGTTATGAGATAGATCTTTAAAGTATTTAATTCTTAATATTAGGCTGGATCAATATGCCACAAATTAGCACCATTTCCAGATTTAAAACATATAATTTTGGACTTAAATAATCTACTTTCATTTTCAGAGCTTTTAAGAAAAACAACAACATCGATCGAATATCTTTCTCATTCTTTTACAACCGTGTTACAATTGTCTATTTCATCAAATGGATGATTTTGCTTGGTAAATTTACTTCAAAAGCAAATCTGATGAAAATGGTAAACGTTACGTATGCACCGCTGAGGTTACTGAACTGACAGTACAGCGACACTATGTGCTGCCTGTTATTCAATATATTTGAATGAAACTATGAAAATTCGATCCCTCACAATGTTCTATTGGATGTCTGGAAATTAACTTTACCTTTCCTTTTTGGATTTTTTGTGATACGCGAACAAACACCGTTGGAATGGTTCCCTTTGGCGAGATACATGTCGGATCATTTTGTTCTCAGGACACCATGACGCTTACGACCTTCACCTTGACCTAGACAATTGGAATAATTTATTTTTCCGGGAATAAACGGAATTTAGTGCAATTTACTTTGAAAATGATTCTTTCAGAAAATATAGTTTAGTAGTTGCAAACTTAAAGTTTGGTATAATATATCAACATATGATGGGGATTCAGATATTTTTCTTCTGGACAAAACATTTTCGGAAAACTCCGCAGTTGATATTATGGGATAGATAATTTAGCAAAATGGCGGCTCAAGCCACAACAAGGGAAGGTACGTGTGTTTACATTAATCATAAGACACAAGCGTAAACCAGATAAATGACAGTAGTGTTGAAATCATTGCTGAATAAGATGTTGTAGTGTATGATCCCGGTAACATCGAATAGAGGGTACTGTTTCGAGATTATCGATATGCACCATCTCGCGACCATCATTATGGTAATGGTGGAAATCGTGATTAGTACGTATGCTAACGTGGTATGAACGTTGATTTCGCAGTTATAAAAAAGACGTGCCACGTTATTTAACTGAGGAAGAGCAATGGCATTTGGTTTGTTTTATTTTATGATAATTCTAATTAGAATAGGAAGTGTAATTTATCTATTTTTTGTTGTGTGCGTGTTCGTGTGGTTTTGGGGGGGGGGGGGTGGTATGAATTTTAACATTTCAGGCACTTAACTTCGAAATTCATAAAAGAACTTGATATGTTTCAATGTCGACTGATCCATCATTTAGTCACTTGTTGATTACTCAAATGTAGTAATATTACTCATTTATGATTTTTACACGCGCGAGGTTGTGACCAAAGTATTTAACAAGGAAATTTTAAGAGAAAAGTCACAGGAAGTGTCGCGCTATCTTCGTATCTTCACTTAACTCTTTAGTATACTGAACAAATTACAGCTTTTCCAAAAAATAGAACATAATATGGATGTATTCTTCACACTCCTGTTAGATTGGATTTTATAGGTAGAAATAATTGTTTAAAAATAAAGTATATTTTTTATTTTAGTTTTATTTCTTCTTTTGCAGAGATTGAAGAACAAGTACGAAATTTACAAAACAAAACAAAAAACTTGGCTGCTGCAAATGTCCCTCCTGCAGAAGATGAAGAAGAATCCAGATTAGGTTTAGGAGAGCTTGCACAAGATGATTACATCTATACAACAGACAAACACAAGTTTGCTGGTTATGATTTATCAATTGCAGCCAATGAAGAGCCAGATGTAAGCATTCTGTTATGCATATTATATGTTAATGGTCATAATGAAAGCAACAGTGGGTCAAGGTTGATTTCAAGAAAGTCTTATTATGTATTATACATTGAAAAGAAATTGAATAGAAACTTGTGTTATGTCCTGTATATTTTGAGATGTGGCAGTTATTAGCAGTTATTTAGATAATTGATAAATGCTGGCAAGAAAATCTGAAGTTATTTGATATCTAGCCTGGTTAAGAGCTACAAATGCTTTAGGTTAGGGTGCCACACATGGCACTGTTGAGTTAGGCAATTGTTTTCAATATTTCTTAGTCAAAATGGAAGATGAAAATTCAATAAATATTCAATATTTGTGTTTTGTTTCAGGAGGATGTTGAAGATACAATCGTTCCTGGAAAGTCCAGATCAACATATACAGCCCCTTTGAACTTGCTGAATGACACACTAAATGACAAAGTAAGAACAGTCTTGTATATGCTGGGGTATGATTGATATTCTACTGAAAAAAAAGCCTTGACCATCAATTCTTTTTAAAATGGTTGATTCAGTTTAACTTATTTTCTACTTTTCTTGCAGGACTATGATCCGTTGGCAGACAGACGCCCACAGAGAGTTTCAGACAAAGGCGGCAACTATCGACCCCACCTGCAATCACGAATCATCTCCCCAGAGCGATACGACCCCTTTGCGAACGGTTAGTATCATTGTTAGATATTTACTCATTCCTTGCTATTGATAGTCTTCCTTTCTCAAAATTTTGTTAGACAGCAAAACATTTAGACATATTTTTGTGTAATAAATTTCAGACAATTTTGAAATGGTTTTATAGATTAACTGGAGCAAATTTCATTTTTTGATAAAAAAAATGGTTATGTTTCAAACAAAAATATTACTCAAATGTCTTGCTGTCTTTCTGACCTATTGGGAGGGATTTGCTGAATCTTAGGGGATATATGTTTTACCTGTTGTAATTTGACTGCACATATATAAGAACACACAAAGGGAAATAAATTTATCAATAAGATAAATCACAATGCAAGTAGATTTAAATAGTATACGTTTTTGGTGTTTAAATGAAAAATGCAATCCATTCCTGGGTTCTATTTTGAGTATAAAAATTAAACTCTTTTTACTAAATATTTATTTATTCTCAAGTTTTAGCCATTGAACCAACAACACTAGGAGTGGTCTTTTGGCTGTAATTATGAAACCTGGTGAAGACGGAAAGATCACAATCTTACTTGCTGAAACAAATATTTGTTGTTTGTGACTGAAAGCCAGTTAGATTGTTTTGGATTCAGAAGATATTTATCAATATATGTTTTGTCACTTTTATTTTAGTCAGATGGTTATAACTTTGAATAAGGTTTTTGAAGTGAGAAAAACAAAACTTATATATAAAAAAGGATATTTGAAGAGGAGCACATTTTGTATGGCATGCTAAACAAGAATATGTTAACTGAGAAGTCAGTTTTGAATAGAACAAAAAGCAGTACATGTAATTGCCTTTGATTTTTCACCTAGCCCAATTTTCAGGGTGTACAAAAAGGAACCGGTTTGTTGAAATTTATCCCTTTTTTTTTTTTTTTTTTTATTGTATACTTGAATATGATTTTTAATGTAAGTTTTTCATATTCTGCATATTAAAGCTTAGTGGAATGAATGCTTTGCTTGTTTGAGGAAACAATATTTTCAAAACATGTATCGGATAATGTTAAGTGTTGTGAAGAAATCAAGTCAACCCGATACTAATAAAAATTATCTTTCCTTTCTAGCACCCAGAATTCGTTTGGAGAGATTTCAGCAGAGCAAGACAGCAACTTGAGGTTTAAACACCTCCTATATTAACAAAACTTTTCATGTAATTATTTAGTCTCAAACCTATTAACTTTATAAATAAATGAAAAAGAAATACCACTAGCTATTTGTGGAATATTTCAAAATTTTGACACTGGTACATTTTATTGAAGTTTAAGTATTAAGGATGAATTCCTCGACGTAAATATGATTCTGCATGCTACAATAACTGATTGAATTATAGACTTAGGATGGCCAATGCACTATAGGTCTTTGTAACAAATGTTTGTTTACCTCACATGGAGTAGTTTCCTGGCAGAGGTTCAATACATTGATAGTTCAGTTTGTATAATCATGCATTGTTTTTTTTTTCTCTTTTTTTTTCTCTCTCTCTGGGTTGTTTAGAATTATATTTAATATGCAGACTAATTTTAGGCACATGATGATGAGAGACAGGACATTGGTCATTCCCAAGAAGATGGATGCGTACGTATATTAATTAAGGTTGATGACACATCTGACGAGTCAGGTTCACAAAGTGTCACAAGTCAGTGAGTTCTTGTCTGAAGAAATTCAAACAGCATTTTCGTGTCATTTTCGATGTTTGGCCAATCAGTGTTTTAAAGAAAAGTAAAATATTTGAAATTTTAAGTGAAAACATGAAAATTTAGTGAAAAAATCAAATTAAATTTCTAAGAAATTTATGGCTGACTTAGTTGGCAGTATTTCATACTCTTGTTACCGTCTCTGATGAGTGAATATTCCTCAGACAAAAACATTAAACATTATCCTGTTGTTCAAGATTGGAAGATGCGGGTATTTGAAGGAATGGTATGTTTGACCAAAAAAAGGAGTGGGAGGGGGAGGGGGGCATGTACTCCAATTATGATTTCCACAAACACCAGGATCTTGTTTCACTGTATTGATTTTCAATTACACTCAATGAATGGAGAACAAATGATTTGACATCACTAATGTTTTGTAATTGTGTCACGGCCTATGTCGTGACTTCTCTGCTTTATCTTTACAGGAGGAGAAACTCCCGATGTAAATGCTTACACCTATGCGAAAGTTCGGGCCTCACAACTTCTTGATAATGAAAAGGTAAAGTTTATTACAGAAATCTGTTCATTTAGTTGATATAATATTGTAAATGTTAAATTTTGCACAATCTTGTCATGTTAACATTTCTGCTGATTAGTAGGAAATGTGGAAAACTTCAAATCTGTATTTGATTAGCATTTCCAAGACAGTTTTAAAATTTGCTCTGTAAAGACAAATTGAAAAATTATAAAGTAAACTTGTAAATTTTGTCAACTATGAAGTACTGAAGTCATATCATCTCAAAATTTGTGTTCTATACTTAATTAAACCAAAATATGCTTATTTACAACACCAACTTAAGTTTGCCTGTTTTCCCACAGAAACGACTACAACAACAGATGGTGGAGAGGGCCAAGTCGGGTGACCTACGGGTACAGAATGGATCCAGTGTTGACAGTGGAGCGAAGATACAGCAGGCAGTGCCACAGGAGAAGAAGAAGCGCCGATGGGACCAGGCCTCGGATGATACACCAGCCAAGAAAACCAAAAGTACTTGGGATAAGGAAGAGGCAGTGACACCGTCAAACAGTCGCTGGGATGAGACACCAGGCCGTGCCAAAGGTGCTGAAACACCAGGTGCTACACCAGGACAGAGTACAAGAATGTGGGATGCTACACCTGGACATGCTACTCCTGGGGCTGCCACACCAGGACGGGGTGATAGTACTCCAGGACATCAGGCTACACCTAGCTCACGTAAAAACAGATGGGATGAAACTCCCCGCACTGAAAGAGGTAAGCAAAGCTCCATAAGAGGGCTAATCCAACTTCATTAGTTCTCCCATCACTACAACTGGACAGAACTACATGTTCACTCTTTGTCCTTTGGTCTTTCCATGTGTCCTTTATCTTTGATAATTATTAATAATTCTTTTTAAGTGTTTATTTTCTTTCTGTTAAACAGTAATCTTTTTTGGATCACATTGTTCATGCATTATATACATTATTTCAGAAACACCTGGACATGGTAGTGGTTGGGCAGAAACACCAAAAACAGACAGAGGAGGGGATCTCATACAAGATACCCCTACTCCAGGAGCTAGTAAACGACGTTCACGTTGGGATGAGACACCTGGAGCCACACCTGCTGGTAACATGACCCCTGGAAACATGACCCCAAGCATGACACCTGCTGGACAGACTCCTGGAGGCTCAACTCCTGTAGCCTTCACGCCGGGGGGAGGTACACCTGGAGGATCTACACCAAGTGGTTTCACCCCAACAGGGAAAACACCTACAGGACAGAAGGCCATGGCCATGGCTACTCCCACGCCAGGTCATCTTATGTCCATGACACCAGAACAGCTTCAGGCCTACACATGGCAGAAGGAGATTGATGAGAGAAACAGGCCCCTGTCTGATGATGAACTGGACACCATGTTCCCACAAGGCTACAAGGTACTGTATCATTTGTAGAGGTCAGTGATTTGTAAGGTTTCAATTTTCTTTATATCAGAAAATACCTGTTTTTCTTTTAAGGTTATTTTGAAAACCGATATATAAGAATAAGGAGAAGGAAGATCATTCCATTGACGACATTAGGTTCAAGAGATATGATTACTTTGTTGAAAATTTAAAAAAAAGAAAAATATGAACCTGAATATAATTAAAAGAATATGTTATTAATTATGATGTGGAATCTTTTTTTATGTTGATTGAATTGTTTGAATATAATGCCTGGAAAGAAATCCAAATTCATTTGTTTCATTGATTATTAGGTATTACAACCACCTGCGGGCTACATCCCAATCAGGACTCCAGCCCGAAAACTGATCGCCACACCAACCCCTATGGCAGGTACCCCACAGGGATTCCGAATGCAAACACCAGACAGTAAGGGTGTTCAGGTAGTGGATATGCAGCCAAAGGGGAACCTTCCAATGATGAAACCAGACGACATGCAGTATTTTGACAAACTACTGGTTAGTAAAATATATACAGAGTATTGTGAAATTTTCAGGGAAAGTAGTGAGTTTCATGATTTTTAATAGGATTTTTATATCAAAATTGACTTAAAGATTTGTGTTAACACTTCATCTAAGATAAAATTTGAAAGTGTGATCAGAGTTCTGGAATCTGAATTCTTAGTAGAAGGCTATTTTAGCTATTGCAGCATTTGGTCAATTAATGGAAAATATCAGCCATTGTAGAAAGAAATCAGAGTTGTTTTGGAATAATGAACAATCTTCAGGTTGGATGTGCTGAGGAACTTTAAAGTTTATAAACATATATAGTAAATGTTGTATTCTCTTCCTCAGGTTGAAGTTGATGAAGAAGCACTGTCACCAGAAGAACAGAAAGAAAGGAAAATTATGAAGCTTCTATTGAAAATAAAGAATGGTACTCCTCCAATGAGAAAGGTAAAGTAGTAGAGTATGTTATAGAAATATGTTTTTTATAACAAAGGTATAAACTTTTTGTTTTGACTATGCTGTCTTCCATCTGAGTGATGATCAGGATTTTCAAATTCTAGATTAAAATTTTTTTTAAATAATTACATCAGATTAATTGCTTTTATTTTGTATGGCTGCTTTTTCACACAGATGACTGCTGAAAGAGTTGTGTAATCAGATTTGGATACCAAACAAGTCTCTAATGTATAATGCGATATTTAAGTATAATACAAATGTGACGTGTTATGAGAAGTGTATGGAAGTATCAATTTTCTATTCTCCCTACAGGCTGCGTTAAGACAAGTGACTGACAAGGCACGTGAGTTCGGAGCAGGGCCCCTATTTAATCAGATCTTACCTCTCCTGATGTCGCCTACATTAGAGGACCAGGAGCGACATTTATTGGTAAAGGTCATTGACAGGATCCTGTATAAACTTGATGATCTGGTGCGGCCGTATGTCCACAAAATCCTTGTCGTCATTGAACCCCTGCTTATTGATGAGGATTACTACGCACGTGTAGAAGGAAGAGAAATCATCTCCAATTTAGCAAAGGTAGGAAAAGAGAAGGGGAAGGGGGGGGGGGGGGGGGGAAACCAACTAAAAGTAGAACCTATCAAACATTTTGTTGTGTATTAACATCATTTGCTTACTCAATAGAAGTACAGTCATTCTTCTCTGAAATGAACTTCAATTATTCAAATTTTTTGTCTGGGCCTATTCCTATATTACTACACAAAAGTTTTTGAAATGAAACTTTTCGACGTACCTTTGATAACACATTTTTGGATAGCTCATGATTTATCAAACATTTAACTGTACAGTACTGTACAGGTTTTCTCATCCTGTTACAAAATTACACAAATTTCAAGAAAGAGAGCCAAATGTCAATGGGATTACAATAGCGTACTGTTAATGGCTCTTTGTTTCACAGTCAATTAATGACTTGACACAGATGAAACTTTAATTGCTTACTAACAAGCAATGACATTTAATCAAAGATAATGGGATGATGTATGATGTTCATAGCCACCATTGTGGTAATAGCATGAAGTTAACTTTATCTTAAGACAAAGTCTCATGGTGAACTATTCAAAAACCCTTCATCTGGCATCGTGCATTGTGCGTCGTGCGTCTGTAAACAATTTAACACTTTGAACTTCTCAAAAGCCCCTGATCTGATATCAATGAAATTTTGCAGGGACATTCCCTTGCCTAAGATGAACCAAATTTGTGAATTATACAGTCCCTGCCTCTCGGGGGCCTAAGGGATGGGGCCAAAAGGGATCAAATTGAGTGGATTTTGAGCATTATTTGTTTGATTTCCGTTTGAAATATTTCAACATGGCTGGAATTATGAGTGAAGGGTGATGGCCTGATGGTATGCCCATTTTGATCCTGACTGACTCCAAAGAGCAGATGGGTGGCGCCAAAAGGGGTCACATTGACTTAGATTCCAAAAATCTTTTTCTCAAGGCCCAGATATGGTAGAATCAAATAATCTTAATGAATGGTAGCATCTTAAGATGCTTTACCAAAATTGTTAATTTCATGGCCGCAGGGTAAATAAATATCAACATCCAGATAATATAAACACTAAACAGTTGTAAATCATCCTTTTTGGAAGCGAACACTACAGCCGTGTGCTTAGATTAGCGTCATGCACAAAGAACCAACATGAAAATCACTTACGGTTAGTGACCATGAAATTGAATTTAGTACAGAAAGAGTTAAATAATCTGAAAAATCTTCAAAAGACTTTTTAGAGCTATTTTCTTTGACTTCATGTAATTTTGAATGTACTTTATCGTTTGTAGGCGGCAGGTCTTGCCACCATGATTTCCACTATGAGACCAGATATTGACAACATGGACGAGTATGTACGTAACACGACTGCTCGAGCCTTTGCCGTGGTTGCCTCTGCCCTGGGTATCCCCTCACTACTGCCCTTCCTTAAGGCTGTGTGTAAGAGCAAGAAGAGCTGGCAGGCTAGACATACAGGCATCAAGATAGTACAGCAGATTGCCATTCTCATGGGATGTGCCATTCTACCCCATCTCAAAAACTTGGTGGAAATTATTGAACATGGTGAGTCAAGTTATTCAAGAAATTTGCTTATAAATTTTAAGGTGTCTGTTAATTGTGGTATCACAATTTATTCCTTTAATAAATCACATAATTAAATCAAAGTGTATTAAGAATTTTATCCCAACTTTATTTTTTTGTTTTCTTTGTGTTGAAAATATACAATTTGTGTGTTATTCCCATTGATTCAAGAGTGATCCTTTTTGGTTCCTGTGTGAGGTTTTGAATGTTAGTAAGATTTTTGGCTTTAATTATAGGTCTTGTTGATGAACAACAAAAGGTGCGGACCATCACTGCTCTTGCTCTAGCTGCTTTAGCTGAGGCAGCCACTCCATATGGTATCGAGTCATTTGACAGTGTCCTTAAACCCCTCTGGAAGGGTATTCGTCAACACAGAGGAAAGGTAAAATAACTATTAGATCTGTGTAATAAGTAAATTGTATGGAATCATGAAAAATGTTAGGTCTATGTTAAGTATTAAATGTATTGAGTTGATTCTTGTTAAAAAATAATATCAAGAAATTTTAAGCCTGTATTAAAAGTAAATTTCATAAAGATTGTTTTCAGTGATGCGGATATTCAACATGCTACACTTTTCTGTGAGTTATATGGTGAATATCCTTCATACAATCTTTCAGTTTCATTTTCTATTTGTAGGGTCTGGCAGCCTTCCTCAAAGCCATTGGCTACCTGATCCCTCTTATGGATGCTGAGTATGCTAATTACTACACTCGTGAAGTGATGTTGATCCTGATTCGAGAGTTTCAGTCCCCTGATGAGGAAATGAAGAAGATTGTATTGAAAGTGGTAAAGCAGTGCTGTGCCACAGATGGTGTGGAGCCCCAGTACATCAAGGAGGAAATCCTGCCTCCATTCTTCAAACATTTCTGGAACCAGAGAATGGCCTTAGATAGGAGAAACTACAGACAGGTATCAATGTTAATCTATGTGAAACTGCAATGTCGTCTCTGCTTTTCAGGTCCTCAATAGGGTCATTGTGAAGTATATAAGTTAATGGTCTGAAAGGCTGTAATAACTTGCGTAAGACCTGTTACATAGACAATAACTAAACAGGTATGAGTAAAGTCAGGTTTTACCATGTGTTGTACCCCGTAACTTATTATTGAAGAAACATATTTTCGTAATTTGCTGTGGAAAAAGGTTTTCTGAATAGGGTAGTTATAATTGCAAATATTTGTAAGTGATCATTAGACAGTCATTTTTTTTTCATTTTCAGCTGGTAGATACCACAGTGGAAATCGCCAACAAGGTTGGTGCAGCAGAAATCATTGGACGTGTAGTGGATGACCTGAAGGATGAGGCAGAACAATACCGTAAGATGGTGATGGAAACTATAGAAAAGATCATGGGAAATCTTGGAGCAGCAGACATTGATTCTCGACTAGAAGAACAACTTATCGATGGAATTCTGTATGCATTTCAAGAACAGACTACAGAGGTGCGCCCATGTGTTCCGATATTAACAAGCATATATGCTAAGCGATACTGCTGGGTCTTCTATACATGATGTTGTGAAACGTTATTAGATTCAAATAGCTATAACAGTTGAATAGAAGTTTTATATCACAACCATTAGAATGTTAGAAGTGTGATGTTTTGATGTCTACACTGTCAACCAGGAATTGACCAATGTGGAGCGTACTAGCACAGATGCATGTAATGTACAAGATGGTAAAGAATCGACTAAGTTTTTGAGCTGTTCTGTTACCGTGTTTACACTCTGTTAGGAAATAGTTTGACGAGATGGAAATCTCTACAGCTGAAAAAGATTGATTCCTTTCCATCTCATACACTATGTGCATCCGTGCCTGTACACTCCACACTGGTCGTTTGTTTGATGAAAGTGAAACATCATACTCTAATATTCTACTAGTTGTGTTATATGAACTTCTATTTAACTGACATTACCAACCTGAAAAAATGCTGCAAAACAGCTCTAACGGTCATTGGTAAAACAGAATTAATAGAGTAAAATCCCCAGGCAGATTGTATTCCTCAAAAGCTTTTGTGTAAATCTTTACTTGCTTTAAAAGCAAATTTGAAAGCTTTTTAATTTCAATATTTAGCAGCATTTTTAAGTCTGATTTACTGGAAAACCGCATGTTACTTGTTTCCGTGAGGAACAGTGCTGGACCTTAATTCATTAGAAAAAATAAAAAATGGTGCACATAAGCTTTTTATTCTCCAGAAAGCCCATGATGAATGTGATGCTGGTCTGAAACTTAGTGTGTATTTATGTGGCATCAGATGTTAAAAGGAGGCTAATGATAATGATGTGTAAAGATGGCCGGACTTAACAAAGATAATGTTCAGTATTTGAAAAAAGTAGAAGTTGGATTAAAGCAATTTGAAAAGAAATTGATATCTAATCTCATTATGGATAAAACAATCATACTTCCGAATTGTTTTGATGATAGCTGAATATTTTTGTGAGAAAAATCTTTCATGTTTGTCATTTTTAATGCATGTGTCAATTTTTCATCAAAAGTGACAGTGAAGTTGCTTAAGCGGAGTAGGTAAGCAAGTCATTGATTGACGGTATAATGAGAAAATATACTACTTGAAAAAATACCTTGTTAAAGCATTATAAGCTATTGCGAAGCGCCCGTTGTCGGTCCATCCGTATATTTGTCCATCCATAATCTGGCGTCAGCTTTTTTCTTCAAACAACTTCTTCTCAATAACCAATGGACCAAATCATTTGATATTTGGTTGGTATGTTCCTAGAATGAAGTCCAAAAAAATGTGCAAAAAAAATGACCTTAACTTGTATTCAAGGTCACAGGGATTAAATTTGTTAAAACCATTACTAAATGCCTAGGAGCAAGATATTTGGCAGGTATATATATACCAAGTGAGTGCTGCAGGCCCATTTAGCCTCTTGCACTTTATTACCTTTTAGTAGATTTCTGTAGAAAGTAGCATATGTTGGTGTAAAGATATTTTTCTGCAAATTTTTTGGCATAAAATGTCTATGTAAAGATATTTGATTTGAAGGGATTTAACATTAATAAGATAAGGACTCCTAAAGGCAAGTTTCAAGATCAGAATTACTCTGTATTAGAACTAGCCAGGAAATTTTTTTGTAGTGAATATATGTTTTGTTTTCTGTTTGTACTTATTTTTTCTTCAAATTTGAAAACATTTAATTCAATATATTTAATAAATTTATGCTACAGTATCTGTGGAAAGATGTAGGTATTGATGATGTATGTTTTGTTTACATGTTGTAAAGTGTGTTTACTTGTATTGACATGAATAAAGGTTATTAACCCAAAAAACAATTACTTTTTGCCCTTTCAGGATGTGGTCATGTTGAATGGTTTTGGTACGGTAGTGAATTCCCTTGGAAAGCGTGTGAAACCCTACTTACCTCAGATCTGTGGTACCATCCTGTGGCGTCTCAATAACAAGTCAGCAAAGGTGCGACAACAGGCTGCAGACCTCATCTCGCGCATTGCCATCGTGATGAAAACATGTCAGGAGGTAAGTACTGGGGATTTTACAAAGCTGTATAATATATAACCAGAAAAGGAAAAAATACTCGTCAGCAAAGTAATGCTCAGCATTGAACTTCTCTGGGATCTGAGCTCTTATGTTTAGTGAAAATATGAAGTATCAGCATTTTCAAAAGTAAAATCGAACTGTAAGATGAAATTGGAGATGTCCATTTTAAGTCTGTTGCACATATCAGAAATACTGATAAAATAAACCACTATATATAGCCATTAATAGGAATTCATTTGCTTATAATGTTCTGGGACTTATTACAGGAACGTTTGATGGGCCATCTTGGTGTTGTGTTATATGAATATCTGGGAGAAGAATACCCAGAGGTGTTGGGTAGTATCCTTGGAGCCCTTAAGGGCATCGTCAACGTCATAGGAATGACCAAGATGACCCCTCCCATTAAGGACCTACTTCCCCGTCTCACACCTATCCTCAAAAACAGACATGAGAAAGTGCAGGAGAACTGTATAGACTTAGTAGGTCGCATTGCCGACCGTGGAGCAGAGTACGTGTCTGCTCGTGAGTGGATGAGGATCTGTTTTGAACTCTTGGAATTACTGAAAGCACACAAAAAAGCCATTCGAAGGGCAACTGTCAATACATTTGGGTATATTGCCAAAGCCATTGGGTATGTTACTTTCTGTTACATATTTTTTATCAGAATCAATCTATCACATGCATTTGCAACCACCTATCATAATTAATGTTGGATTAAAACTAAGAATGATGTTACTGTTTCTTTTAATTTAATGTAATGATATACCCACGGTTCTCGAAGGGCGTGTGTTGTTCACCCCATGGTCAAATTGTTAAGAACTCTACTTTTCTCAGAAAATCATGATGATCTTAATAGTGCACATTGCACAACATGGCCATTTTCGTTTAACAGTTTGACAGGGTTATTAACTTCAGTAAGGATAAACCTACTGATTTTATTATGCTTTCTGACAAGCCTTTCAAGGCATGTATTAATATATATATACATGGCCATTTTCGTTTAACAGTTTGACAGGGTTATTAACTTCAGTAAGGATAAACCTACTGATTTTATTATGCTTTCTGACAAGCCTTTCAAGGCATGTATTAATATATATAAATATCTGTCCTGATTTTTGCCTGAAGCATTGCATTTGAAATGTGATTGAACCTGGTTTATCCTTATAAAGGATAATGCACAATATACAGCGTAGAGTTATTTTCCGTTCGACCATGAGGTGAATTTAACCTGAAACATAAGCTTATTTATGTTAATATAAAAGCAGATTTCATTATCAGATCCCTGCCTGTTTATAATTCAGACTAAAGGATGAATTTATGATTAATCAGCACTGTGCACTAATAAATCTTTCATAATGTTTTAATGCTATTGGTCGTTTGATGGTGAAAACCTTGTTTTTACAGTCCCCATGATGTGCTGGCTACTCTGTTAAACAATCTCAAAGTCCAGGAACGTCAGAACCGTGTGTGTACAACAGTCGCAATTGCCATTGTAGCTGAGACTTGTTCCCCCTTCACAGTGTTACCAGCTCTGATGAATGAATATCGTGTTCCAGAACTGAATGTACAGAATGGTGTACTCAAATCATTGTCCTTCATGTTCGAGTACATTGGAGAAATGGGCAAGGATTATATTTACTCCATAGCTCCTTTGTTAGAGGACGCCATGATGGATCGGTAAGGCAAATTGCATTGTTATGTCATTTCAACATTTTCTCAACTGTGCTGATAGTGGAAATGAAAAGTAATTTATAATCCAAAAAGTTGTGGTTCAATTGATGTGGTACCAATGGATTGTAATATTTAAATTCAAATTAGATATTAAAAAGTGTAACCATTGTTTAAATTTTCTTTTGTTAAAGAGCCAAATTATGGCCTTTTGATATTTTAGTCATAGCAATTTTGTTGACCATAAGTAGTGTCAGAATAACCTTGTTCATCATAAACTTCTGTCTATTACAGAGATCTGGTGCACAGACAGACATCAATGGCAGCTATACAACACATGGCTCTTGGAGTGTTTGGCTTTGGTTGTGAGGATGCCCTCACACATCTACTCAATTATGCCTGGCCCAACATCTTTGAGACATCTCCTCATGTTGTCCAAGCTTTCATGGGTACTATTGAGGGAATGCGTGTGGGACTAGGTCCATCAAAGGTTTTACAATACACAATGCAGGTGAGTGATATCAAACCAAGTGCCACACTCCTAAACATAAGCTTAGTGTTGCTTTACTACTGGTTAAATTAATTTTTGGCGGGGTTGCACATAGTGCAAATCCGGGTTATAGTATGGTGAATGTCTGTCGGATGGGTGGGGAAAAGGGGTACCAGTTTCGTAGAATCAAATCCTCCTGGAGTTTTTGACGTAGAAGCATGAAGCTTTGTAGGATGTTTATATATATGTTGAAGATGTGCACCTATCAATTAAGGATTCATTCCGGATGTTTTTTCTAGATTTTCTGGGCTTTGGAACTTGGTCGTTTTCAAGAGTCTGGCTTGGAAAATTGAAGATGGCAGCCTTTGCCATTGGTTGAGATGTTGTTTTAAGTGCGATATATAACGTTGTACTCATCCCGCAACCCTGTCAATTGTGGCTTTGCCCCATTTTTTGACATCTTTGTTATGAAAGATAGGTTTTCAAATTGATCTCACAATTGTATTCATCAAAGGGCCGGTTTCCAAAACGGCCCCTTCTCTGATTCAAATTTCCTGTTGGTGGTGCATTGCCCATGCCGTTGTGGTCACAAATCTATAAAGTATAAAGATTTAGGTAACTTGGTTTGTTTTTTTGGTTCCTCAAAGTTGTACCTTTCAGAAGCTGTATAAGTGTTGATAAAATGTGCATGTTATGTAAAATATTAATGAAAATCTAATCAAATGATAGTCACCGTAAAGAATACATTCATGGCATGATTGTGACAAAAATCATGTTTCCATCGCGCCATTTGGCTGTTTTATGGAAGAAACAATCTCAAAAATGCCATTTTCGATGATAACATTTTAGACACAAAAACTGTGTTTTTTAGAGAATACACCCTTTTATTGGCGTTGGATGCAAACCAATTTATATCCTATTAAATAGTACGTAATATGCTGTTGATGAGAGGAAAAATCATCAAAATGTAAGTGGTGGAACATTTTCAAATGTTGGGTTGAATTAGCCTATGGTTGAATTGCCGCTTTTCGACTTTCTTTAGATAATTAACAAAAAAACGAGAGTATTTGCTCGGTATGTTGAGAATATGTACACAGATATGAAAAAAAGTGAAACACTTTTTCATAAAAAAATCCAAGATGGCTACTTCGCAAGTCCCCGTGGTTGAAGACATTGGCTGACAAATAGACAGAACAACAAACAAAACGTGTTCCTTATGATTTTGGTTGGTTGTCGCATTTACGGGATTGTTCATAGCTACCGGCGATTGTATAATACCTATATTTATAAGTTTGGTTAGTCACATGGTAACGGGGATCTTTCATATCGAGCCCCAAACATACTTTCGACATATGCACTCTGTTGCCGCATGGAAAACTATTTCAAGTTTTGTCGGAATTTCTTTACCTGTGGTTGTAATAGTCGAGGGTTTTCCAGCGTCCTGTAATACCCAAGGTAGTACAAGATACTGGAGATGTGCGCACACATTCCCATCGTTCTCTCTCCAACTGGGCACTGGCAGTAGTAGTCCTTTATTGGGGCCTCAACATCGGGTGAAACGGTGAACCGTATCCAAACGTTATATTTCGTTTGGCTTTTGTGTCGAGAATGTATTTGACATCGGAGAAGGTCTGGGGAGTGCTGGTAAAGCCACACCTCATAGTCGCCGTCATCACTTAAATGTTCGGCGATGTAACCAGGAGCCAGAGATATCTGATACGTTCCACACGTAATGGTTCTCAAGTAATCAAGATCGAGACGGGGAAACAGTACTTTATTTATTTTTTTTTTTTACACATCATAAAACTGTCATGAAAATATCCGCTCTGATATTCAATATAAAAGTTTGTATATAATAAGCTATATAGTAGGGTTTCAGACAAGGTTGTTACTAATTTCCCCTTTTCTTTCAATTTACAACCACATTCAGGCGGCGATATGAGAACGTTCCACCACATGGAATTAGCTGATTTTTGGTACACATATGAAACAAGTAAAGCTCTATCCGATTTTCTGATGGAAATTTGCATCCAAAACTACATAACGGGAGAATATTGCAAATTTATGGCATTTTTCTTCATAATTGTGTCTCTGCAAGTGCATTTTCATCCGAGAATATTTTTTTTTTATGTTTTATGAATAAACACGATGATTTGGAAATATTTATCAAAAGAAATTTATACTATGTTGCGAATTACAATTTCAAGATAACCTTCTTTTATTTACAAACTTATGTCTTTGATGCTGAAATTGACAACTTTATAAAAATACATTTTCACTGAAATTATGAAATCTGGGTGTCGGAAAGGTGTAAAATTATTTTTCGGAAAAGAAAAAAACAGTAGTTGAGCTAGATAAGAAATTATACGGGGGCAGGCTCCTATGGAGAATTAACATTACTGGAAACAGGCCCTTTTCATGTTTGATTAATGTTTTACAGATGTTGATAAAGTGTCAGTTATTTTCTCAAGTAATTGTAAGAGTCCTGTTGTTATTTCAGGGACTGTTCCATCCTGCAAGAAAAGTCCGTGATGTTTACTGGAAAGTGTATAATACTGTGTATATTGGTGCTCAGGACGGTATGATACCAGCCTACCCACGTGTACCTAATGATGCCAAGAATCATTACATCAGATACGAACTGGACTACATTCTTTGATCACACAAATCATCATCATCACAGTTATTTTCATCAGATAGGGGATACAGATACTCATTGGAGAGTTCTGATAGGCCAACACCTATTGTACAGTTGTAAATAAGCTCTGTATGCGTGTGTGTGTGTGGATGTAATTTTCTGGCCATGATACATGGTATGTGGATTCAATTTTTCAGGACTTATGTCAAAGTACACTGCAAGTAAAGTGTGAGAGGAAAGATGATTCTTCTGCCAGAGGAAAGATGTCTGAAAAATCCGAGCAGAAAAATATTTTGTGGCAAGTTTCTTAAAATCACCAAAGCACCAATTTATCTTAAAAGTGAAGTTAAGGGGAGTAAAAAATCTTTGATATTTGAGATGTGCGAGGATTCTTCAAACATTTTCACTTGCAGCTTCATAGAACAGAATGTGAAGTTATATGACTGGGGTTTTAATTAAATAATTTCAGATTTTTAAAGAGATACTATTGGTTCATACTACATTATAGAAATGTGGACTGAAGATTAAAATTTTGTTTTAGAGTGGAAAATCAACAGAATTCGTGAAAATACAGGAATTTTTGGGGAAAGAAAGCGGCTTAAATACTGTGGACCTTTGTGACATATCGTATTGTTAAGTACCCTGTACACTTAAATAGCAGTTGTGTTGTCCTGTGATGGAACATACAAGCGATAATCATAATACCCTTTGATTTTAACCTGCTTATCGTTGTAAAGTTATGGTGATCTTACTCACACACACATTGTAATTCTAAATATCACCAAGTACATAGATCAACTGTTATCAAACTATTTTTGCTATCAACAAGTATTGCTGTTGAAAGTAATTGTCATATTACAGGATCAACCACTATATTTTTTACACTGAGACTAGGAAATGAAATTATGAATTGGAGAGGGAAAAAACTTTGACTCTCATCAGTAAAATGTTTTGTTCTAGATATTCTTGTGACAGTTATTGTGGTACTTCATACTTGTGAGATTTTATTGCAACAGGTATTACAACAGTACATCATATACAAAATGAATATTGTTAATAATCATGATTTAATAAAAGTATTGCACAGAAATAAATCCACTAGTTTTACTATGTCTTTTTCAACTTTCAAACAGATAGAGGTTTACTAACCTGTGTTATTTTGTTGTACTTGACTAATAGGATAGGAATGTCTTTGTACAACCATGTTACATTAATAGTAAAACACACCATGGATTTCTGTTAATGTCCTTGATGGAAAGTATTTTAAACTACTTGGTATGTTATTCTGAATGTCTTATACCTCTTGACAGATTTGGTTAACCAGTTATCAGTCAAAGTTAAATGGTCAAAGGTTGCATCTGACAACTTCTGAAAATTTGTCCAACAGTGATAGTTTATGCATTAGGAGAAGGATATTTACATCTGACATTTTCTAGTTTATCATATCTCGAGACTTCATATTGAATACTGTCCCTTTGAAAATCAGTCATCATTTCATCTGATCAAGACCTGGGCCCATATTCATGAAACCATTCTCATGCTTAAGCATAGATTTTGTTCTCAAGCAAACTTTGTTTTATAATTTGCCTAAATCATATAAAATAATACAAATGTCAAATGTAAACATTGAATATAGCTTTGACTTGAAGTCCTTTCAAAATTTGTTTTTAATCTTTGGCAAAATCAGTCTTATTTATTCATATTTAACTTAAACAAGATATAAGGTTTGAGCACAAATTTCATGCTTGAGCATGAGAATGGTTTCATGAATACGGGCCAAGATCAGGTGAATTTTGGGAACGAGGTGAATAAAAAGAGATTTGATGCTACATTTCTGGAAATGCTAATTAAAGACAATATATAACCATGTGATGCAATTCAAAAAATATTGCTGCTACTTGAACAGGAGGTCTATTGTCCTTGACAGTTACCTGAAGTAAGCAATATTGAATATAAATGTTATTTTGGTAAGTAACTTTCAAGTGTCACCAAAAAAAATTTGCAAGATTCAATGATGGTAGTACGACTTTGTGATATGATCAAAGTCCCTGGAGGTCAGCCATGGCCAATATATGTAAACCATGGTAATTCTAACAAAGTTTGAAATATTTCAAATGGAGATTTAACGAATTGTTGCTCAAAAATGCCTTCACAAGAGGGGAAATGTGAGACTCTAGTGTCATGAAATTCATAATTTTGGTAATGGACTTTTTAAGACCCTTCCATCCGTGGAAAATATTTGTTCCTACAATATCTTGGTGTTGAGATGATAATTTTTGGACTTACAATTTAAAAACATCAAAGTGAACTCTTGTTATTGACTCTTTGCCATATAATCAGCACTAAATAGTATTAAGCTATATTCTGAGGAGAAGGAATGAAAATTTTCAGTTTTGGCAGATATCCTTCAAAGTTGATGAGGGACAATAAACAAAGTGTATACCAATGACCTTGACCTTTGAATGAAGATCCTTGTATATGTTATTTGTCTTGGTCATCTTCGGTCAAAGTAGAGTAAATCTAAACTAGGTTTCATTAAAAACAACTTCATTACTTCCTAGGGTGTAGTTTGACCATTTCACAGTCAACAGAAAAAGGAATTCCAAAGTTCCAAGATTCTGCATTAGGGAAGGTGTTAAAAGATAACAATGAAATCTAGTCAGGGTAAGGAAAATTTCATTTACAAACAACTCGTGAGGCATAGTGAAACATTTACAGTATAAAATGTATCTAAATTTTAATACATTTGTACAGTATAAACTGCTCGGTTAAAACTGCACGAGATCACAGAGCTAATCAGTTTTTGATCATGGACAATAACACATGCTGTAATTATGTACTGCATTGTAATTTAAGATTACACAGTACCAGTATGTCAAATGTACATAATTATGTGGTGGCTCAAGCATGTCAGAGTCATCATATCTCAACTGAGTTTAAGCAGATTTACTGTAAACATCTATAGGTAACTTCTTTCACACATTGATATCTAATTCAATTTGTTTTGGTCACCAGTTTATAAAATATATTTACAAATATACAAACAGATTTTACGTCTTTGATCTTATACACATTAGTTTAGGGTAACAGTTTGAAATTTGATTCTGTAAATTTCCTTTAATTTGGAAAACAGATTATCACATTGTAGAGAAGTTTGCTATTGCTCTAATATAATGTATAAAGCTAGGAACTGGATAATGATAGTATGGAGTGTTTGAACTTTCATATGTACAAGTTTTCCCAAGCAAAGAAATATTGACCTTAAAGAAGTCATTATGTACTTTATGACTGTTTCATCTGAAGAAAGCACCCCCAAAAATATCTTTATGTACGAATGTTATTTTTCAGTTAACATGTAGCATTGTCAAAAGAATAGCACACAGAAATATTGAAGTTCGTTTCCTGTAAGGATGAAATTTCCTAATGGCTGTCTGATCTCTCTCTCCTTCTGACACTGTGACGATCTTTATGTCTGTTATTTTCAATTTTTCTTCCTTCTCTTGATCTCTGACCTCTATCTCCTGACCTTGACCTTCGACCTCTTTCATATGACCTTGACCTATGTCGGTGTGGAGAAAGACTTGCCTTTCTCCCTCTTATGACTGGAGAATGTCTGTCTCGACGAGAGGATGAGTCCCTTTTTTCTTGGAACTGATAACCATTTTGTCTGGAGTCTCTTTCCCTAACATCAGCTGATTGTTTTGTTTTGTCTCGATTTGATCCTCTTGAAGATTTTGATACTTCCTTATCACTAGAATCATGTCTATCTCTTTGACTTCGTGGTTCCATCCTTATAAATTTTTTCTCGTCCTCGCTAGAACTGCTGTTTCTGTGTTTCCGGTGGTTTTTGCTTTGACCTGGAAAACCTTTCCTTTCTTTTCGCTTTTCCTCCACAGAACTGCTACGAGACCTATGATGGATTTTCTGTCGATTCCCTCCCATCATTCCATGTCGGTCCTCAAAGCTGTTTTGACGCATGTGCATACCCAAATGCTTCTTTTCTGCATGCTTGCCTCTATATGGACTGCTATCCGAGTCACTATCCATTCTCTGTTTGTGTTTCCTCTTTGAGTCTTCCTTTGGCCTTTTTCTCACTGGATCATCATCTAAAAATGATACATTTCATATTGTTAGTCTTTCTTATCTAAATGTCTATCCTCCATAAAAATTCCTGACATCAACTGAAAGCATATGCTTATATTTCTCCCTTACCGTCATAACTTTAAAACTACTACTGCAAGTCCTGCCAAAAATACTATCAGAAAAGCTTCAAATGTAATTTTACTCCAATTCTCAGGATGGCTTCATTAATACACTTTTACTTTTTATACTTTTACAAGACTGAACCTAAACTTCAAGAGCTTTAATAAACGTAAGCAGTGAAAATACTACAACTATAACTCAATGAGTGACCAATGATTACGCTTTAACTATAATAGGAAATGAGTGATGATTGATAGCATTTTAACAAGGACTCAGTGAGTGATCACTGATAAGATTTTAACAAGGACTCAGTGAGTGATCACTGATAAGATTTTAACAAGGACTCAATGAGTGATCACTGATAAGATTTTAACAAGGACTCAATGAGTGATCACTGATAAGATTTTAACAAGGACTCAATGAGTGATCACTGATAAAATTTTAACGAGGACTCAATGAGTGATCACTGATAAGATTTTAACAAGGACTCAGTGAGTGATCACTGATAAGATTTTAACAAGGACTCAATGAGTGATCACTGATAAAATTTTAACGAGGACTCAATGAGTGATCACTGATAAAATTTTAACGAGGACTCGATGAGTGATCACTGATAAGATTTTAACAAGGACTCAGTGAGTGATCACTGATAAGATTTTAACAAGGACTCAATGAGTGATCACTGATAAAATTTTAACAAGGACTCAATGAGTGATCACTGATAAAATTTTAACGAGGACTCAATGAGTGATCACTGGTAATATTAAAACTATGACATAATTAGTGACCACTAATGATACTAGAACTATGACTCGCTGAGTTACCACTGGTAATACTACAATTTTAACTCACTTAGGACTCCAAACCCACCTGAGCTATCACTATTACTGCTAAAACTATCCACTTGAAGCTCTTTTCTGTGTCGTCTCTTTTTGGGACTATCATCTGAATATGAAATATGGGTGAGCATAAATTAAAATTCAAAGTGTTTCAATACAAATGAATGCTTTGTATGCAGGTTTGTAATTTTAATGAAGTCGAGAACTGAGGATTTGTAAGACTAGAAAAGGAAAATTATATTTTCAAAGGGCATTTTGTTTTTAGCCCACCATCATCAGATGGTGGGGTATTCAAATCGCCCTGCGTCCATGGTCCGTGGTCCGTCCGTCCGTAAACAATTCTTGTTACCGCTATTTAAGGAAAAGTACTGGATAGATCTTTCTCAAATTTCATATGCAAGTTCCCCTTGGTCCCTAGTTGTGCATTGTACCTTTTTGGACTGATTCGAATTCAAGATGGCCAACAGATCTTGGATTTAGGATGTAAAAGTTTGTTACTGCTATTTCTTGGAAAGTACTGGATGGATCTTTCTCAAATTTCATATGCAGGTTCCCTTTGGTTCCTAGTTTGTGCATTATACCTTTTTGGACTGATCCAAAATCAAAATGGCTGACAGGCAGCCATCTTGGATTTTGAGAGTAAAATCTTGTTACTGCTATATCTGAGGAAGTACTGGATGGATCCTTTTGATATTTCATAGATATTGGTTTCCCTTGGTCCCTAGTTGTGCATTGTACCTTTTTTGGACTGATTTGAAATTGAGGTGGCCCGCAGGCAGCCATCTATGATGTCGACAGTAATACAGCACAAGCATATTGTCCATTATCCACCTGTAACTGACTGCTATCTAATAATACTTTGGGATCTTTTTCAAATGATATTTGCTAATAGGTGCTTAATAAAAATATCTTGTGCCATCATTGAATGCATTCAATGAAGACCAGTTCATGAACATTTACAACACCTGTAACAAACAAAAAAAAAAAAAAATAAACAAATCTTCAAGAACTGGAAACAGATCTTCAAATGGGTGGGCGCCAAGATCCCTCTGGGATCTCTTGTTCATGTTTCAGTTTCAATACCTGCTCTTCTAGTGTAAAATCTTGTTATTTACCTGAATCTGATGACGATGATCTCTTCCTTTTTTTCTTTTTCTTTTTTGTTTTTTTATCTCCTTTTCGTTTCCCTGAACTTTTGTCCTGAAGTTTGTTCAACCTCCTGTAAACAATAAAATTATACAAAAAAGGTTCAGCATTCTTTCTAGCAATAAAGTACACCATGTTTCAAGATAAAGATGGAAATGTGTTCTATGTGGTTCCATAAATTTGTAAAGTGTTTTCAGATTTCATACCTATCTTCATTAACAGTGTTTCCTGCTGGTTCAAGTATGACATTCTTTCAATGCAAATAATAAGACTTACAAGAAAAACTGTCTATTTCCACCAGTTCTTCAAAAGTTTGGACATTAATAGGGCCATTTAATGTTTTTACTTGTTTTCCCCTCAAAGTCAAACCGTTAAGACTATTCATCATACCCAAGAAGCTATTCACATGCACTATTTTTAGAACTTCCAGTGGATTTATAGGTCAAAAAAGTACATCTATTAGTACACAATACTGGACAACAGTAGCTACTTAAGTAATGATATGAAGTAACTTTCACAACTGTGAAACAAGTTCTATTAATTTTTATTGGGCACTAAAACTTCGGGATTTTTTTTTTAAATGTAAAAAGAAACTCTTAACACCTGAGAAAAACCTATGTGGCCAAAGAAGGTGATAATCATTGTTTTCACATCCAATCAAGTGAGTTACTGCAAAACTTATTATTTTCAAGGGTTTTTATTTTTCACCATTTTCAAGAACTGAAAAAAGTCCTAAATCTACATCTCTTGAAATTAATTTTGTAAAGGAAACAATTTTAAGTTTCTGTCAAAAAATATACAGTAAAACATGGACAAGTCGAAGTTGATGGGATTAAATAAAATGTTAGACTTATCCAATGGTTTGACTTAGCCGTGTTTCTATGAATGAAGACATTTTGCATCTAAGATTGACCCTATTTTCATTGGTTGTTTACTGGAAACTGGCCTCATAGCATGGTGTGACAGTAATGAATAAGTAATTAATGAATAAAAATATTTTGTAATTTTATACACTACTGATATCATTTATTTAAATAAACAGTTGTAAGTAGGAATATAAAGATAAAATGTTATGAGAAACACTCGGCATTGCACACGTGGATATGCACATAACTCGAAAAAGGTACCTGAAATAATACAAATATTGTACTCACATTTATATCTTCAAGAGTAACAAGTCCCATCAACAATATTTAAAAAACTAGAAATTGTTAACAATTTTGCGGGCTTTTCACTTCTTTGGCGACAAGTTGACCAGAAGTTGACATTTATCTTGATAACAATATATGAGAAAGATTCCTTGTTTATTAGTCTCTACGACATATCCAAAGATGAACTTTGAATCTTGAAACGTTAAGGAGATATAACTACATAATAACGAAGAAATACACTTTTTAAAGATTCAAACATATTTGACCCCTGTGACCTTGAATGTAGGTCAAGGTTATGCATATTTGCAAGCATTAAAATGTAACATCTGATGATCAATATAATCCCAATATTAGTTCTCTAGACCTTGTGAAACTTGACAAGGAGATTGTTGAACACTGGTACCCTATTTTGTATATTTGAACTTTGACCCCTTTCGGCAACCGGAAGTTGACATTTTGAGGGAAGTTTTTTTATGACAATCCATAGGAAGTCTCAACAGAAGGTTTATAATTAATTTTCATCATTGTATGCCTTCTAGAAATTGAGAAACTGTCATTTAACGATTATTAGTTAATTGACATCTGTGACCTTGAAAGTGGGTCAAGGTCATTTATATTATCAAACTTTGTTGCCAGTTACATATGCTTCTTATATGTGAAATATCAAGCCTCAAGGCCTTCCAGAACTTGAGAAGAAGTTTTTCAAAGATTGGTACCGTAAATAGCTCTTTCCAAATTTGTGCCTACCAAAAACTGGAAGTTGAAATTTCAGGGAAGTTTTTCTTATAACAATCAATAGGAAGTGTCCACAGACTGTTTATAATCAATTTTCATCATTGTGTGCCTTCTAGAAAGTGAGAAACTGTTATTTAACGATTCTTAGTTAATTGACCTCTGTGACCTTAAAAGTGGGTCAAGATCATTTATATTATCAAACTTTGTTGCCAGTTACATATGCTTCATATATGTGAAATATACAGCCTCTAGGCCTTTCAGAACTTGAGAAGAAGTTTCTCAAAGATTGGTACCCTTAATAGCACGTTTCAACTTTGACCCCCTACCGCAAACCGGAAGTTGAATTTTGAGGTACGTTTCTCTTATATCAGTCGACAGGACATGTCCACAGAATATTTTATGTCCAAAGTTGAAGACTTTGGGCAGCTTAACAATGGAGAAATTACCATTTAACGATTTTTACATAATTGACCCCTTTGACCTTGAAAGTGGGTCCAGGTCATTTATATTAACAAACTTGATAGATAATTAAACAGACATCTAACACCTGAAATATCGAGACCCAATGCTTTGCAGAACTTGAGAAGAAGTTTTTCAAAGTTTGTAACTTTTGAACTTTGACCCCTACCGAAAACCGGAAGTTGACCTTTGATCCCAGTTTTTTTCTTGTGAAAAGTGTTTTCTTTTTAATTTAAATAATATGATTAAAACTAAGGTCACTAGCTTAAACAGTTCTTGAGTTACGGCATTTTAGGTAAAATCAGAAATGATGTCATAGCGGCCATTTTGTTTTTCCGATGAATTTGTGTGTAAGTGTCACTAAATGGTAGAAGACATCTGGGGAAATCTTCTCAATAACAATTTGATAAAATATAGCCCAGCAATATTAATCTAGAACGAATTTTTCCCATTTGTCGGCATTTTTACAAGATCAAAGAAAATTTTCAAAATGGCGTACAGCGGAAATGGTAAACGTTTCAGAAGAACTGAAAACACTAAATTTATCGGAAGGATGTTCTGTGTCGAGCTGAAGAAGAAAATTTCAAGAAAATTCAAAATTGAAAAAAAAAAAGAAAAAATTTGTTAAATTTTGAAAACTTTACCCCACAGCGAGCTTTTTTATTTGACATATTTTGTATTAATATGGCATGAGAAAAAGTTAGATATGGAAATTCTCTACAAATAATATTATTGCACAAACTCTGTACAATCAATGGTTTTCGAGATATTGCCGTTTTTAAGTTTTTAACTTATGACGTCATGGCATCCACATTGGATTTTTGACATACTTAAAAAATCGGCATCAGCAACTTCATATACGTATCTACAAAGAGGTGTATAGACTGTATGTCTAACTTTTACAATTTAAAATATTACGAACCCACAAAACTGGAAGAAGAATAATAAGAAACATAACAAAAACAATAGGTCTTTTCACCAGTTAGTGAAAAGCCGTAATAAAACTCAATAAATATGTATTTTTGAACATTCTACATTGATATAACATTGATAGCAATAAGGTAGGTTATAAAAAAATGAAGGCCATGACAATGTCACAGAAGCATAACTTTACACATGTTACTGAAAATAGGATCATATAAAACTTGCACTTTGTACATGTATATCCAGTAATTATTTTTTTCCCTGCGGCTTCCGTCAGCAATGCGCGTGAAGAAGTAGATTTATGGTTAACAGACTACAGTGTATTTTGTTTAAAGATTGGTTGCATAATTCTGTATAAATTCTAACTACTACCTGTTCACCCATGTAAACACAGGGATTAAAGATAGATTGAAAATTACAATAGGGCTCATTAACACTGATCACATTAAGTCATTCGGACAGAAGCCAGGACATTTTTAGAAGGGATGAACCACAAAATACATTTGACAAAAATGCAGTATTCGACTCAACAGTTTTTGAATTGTCTCTGTTTAATTTACTAAGATAAAGAAGAGAAAAGATCGGGACCAAACAAAACATTTGACTAATCCCATGTATTTGATTCAATAGTGATCAACACAAGTGTGTTTTATTGTATATCACTTGCTTTCAAGCTTTTGGTGAAACTGCAGAAATTTGAAACATCAAAAAAAAAAAAAAAACGTATAGTACCACTGTCAATAATGAATGAGTAAAACTCTTTCTCCATCTCTTTTTCCTTTTACTCACTTCAGCAATTTTTTCTTCTGTTTAGGAGTCAACGACTTGAGAAACTGGACCTCTGGGTCATCTTCATCCTCGCTGTCAATGATTTGCTAATTGTAAACAAAATAAATTCGTAAGAAAAAGATCCTGTTGATTTATAAAGTTTTCTCTAATAACCTATCAAATTTAGTAAACAAAAAATCTGAAACCCTCAGTTCACTGTACTGCTGCGATTAGTCTTAATTATTTAGACCAACTATCATTTTTTTGTTTTTCTTTTTATATGAATAGCACAATGAAATTTTCAGATGACGTTGAATTGCCTATATCCCTAATAACCAGATGTGATGGAGCGACACAAATACTCCCATTGACAATCAAGAAGAAATTAGAAGCCTCTAGTGTTATTGGTTTTGTCAAGAGGTGTACTTTTGACAAGTGAAATAAAATTTCTTCAAACAGAATCAATGGTAAAGAATTTAAAACAAAATTAATTTCTGTTAGCAGACTTTTTTCCCTCACTGAAATAAGTCAAAGTCATCCAAAGGTCTTATGTTTTTGTGAATTTCAAAATTAGAATTTCAACTAAAATTCTTTCAATTTAATGGTCAGAACTCTGGAAAAAATAAAATGACCATAACCACATCAGAATTTGATCTTCATGTTATCATCAAACAACTACATACCAAATAACAGTTCTATATGTATCTGATAAAGAGTAAATGAGCAGAAACGAAATTATGACAGAAAGATGGAGTGATGGACATAGGTAACACTGCATACTTCCAACTATGAACTGGCCAGACATGAAAACAGCAAATGACCATGAATTACCTCATTGGAAGCTCGTGGATCGGACATCCTCCCCAAGATGCTCTGTTTGAGTGCAAATCCATCCTCCTGCATACTCTCTATTAGAGAGGAGGCACTGTTTTCCGCTACAATTCAATATGAAATTAAAATGCTATTTATCGTTATCATAAGCAATACTTATCAATCAATGAGGGCATGACAGTAGGTCATGACTAAAAGTTCATCATGACACTATTTCGTAATTAGATAAATATTAGGTCATGTACTCCCATAACTTTACAAAATGTTCTATGTTAAATATTTTGTGTAGGAGAATGCTTAATATATATATGTGTGTACTATTACTTACGCTGTTCTGGCTCAGCTGTGAGATCTTTACCAAACAGCGGACATATCTTGTCAGTGTTGACGTGACCCCACTTGCGACATTTTATGCAGCGGACATTTCTCACCTCCACACCGAATGGCTGATCGCGAATCATCTCATCATCTTTAGCATACCTATAATGCATAAATGAATTAATTTCTGTTTGAAAATCAGCATGATGATATTCTAAAAAAATATTGATAACATCGTCGTCAAGATTTATCATATATTAAGTAAACAATGACAAGTGCAAGTCATTTTTCATTTTTGGTATGCATGATTTTGCTAGCACTTCAGTGATTCTAAAATTGTTATTAAAAAGCAAGACAACTAAAGGTTACTAGTTTATATAAAGGTTTAATCCTCTGAAGCCATGTGTTCTTTATGCAAATGAAAACTGATACTTCTCACATAATGCTACATCATTTGGTGAAAAATTGTTCATTGGAATTTTTTTTTACTTCTTTACAAATATCTTTAGTGAAGAACAATTACATTTAATTGCATATAGTACCCCCATTCTAGCATTCCTATACAGTGGAAACCACTTAATGTGACCACAAAATTTTCCTATGCTGTGTTTTATGACATATGACTGGCCATTCAATATAGCCACTGATAAACAGCCAATGAAACATGGCTTTTCAAGGTGAACAGTTCAACTTGGTTGGTTATTTTTATCAGCAATGCTTGATGAAAGCAATCTTCAGAACACATCTTATCAAATTGCAGATACACACTCTGTTATGAAGCCTGCACAGTAATGGATGAATGAATTACCTCAGCTGATGACACAGCTGTGTTACATATAAATTTGACCATGTGTAAACTATGAATATGACATTATCGTATTTCATAATACTAGATGACAAATTAAAAAAGATAAACAAAGGTTAGAAAAATCACTTTGCTTAAGGGGAAAACAAATCAAATTTCAAATTTCTGTCTTCAAACAATTTATGTAAGACACAAGACAGTTTGGTGCATCAGAAAGTTAACTTTTGGATTAAGACATGCAGAAAAATGTGTCAATTGTTAATGTCATGTTCCACTTATTACTACAATTTTCCCTGACAAATGTAACATTAAGTAGTTTCCCACTGTACTATACCTCACCAATACTCACTGTTCTCTAGGGGCATTATATTTTCTCTGCCAATCAAATTTCACTTCTGCCTCTCCATCTTCTTGCTGAGAAACAAAACAAATTACTAAACAAAAATCATCTATCAAATTTTTGTGTATCCAGTACTGTAAATTCAAAAATATTTCAATGGACATAAATATTTATCCAATAATGTAAGCTTGAAAGACCTGTATCACATCATTATATCTTTGTTCAAAACTTAAAGTGCATGCAGTATATATATATGTTGTACATACAATAAAGCTAACTATGGTGTGTTGTGTACATGAAACATCCATCAGTTCAGTGTATGGGTATATAAAGGTATCACAAGTTTGTAAAATGAAATATACTGGTAGAATTAATTAATTTAACCATACCTCTTTCTTCTTCATACCAGGTGGGGCATCATACATAAAGCTCAAACCTAGTTTGGCTTTTTCATCCCCAAGCAGAGCCCTGCAAATCAGAAGATTCATCATATAAATATAACACATACACCATGAAGAATAAAATTGCTTCACATGACTTGGCAATGCTATGGGGAGATCACTCTGGGACGACATTTAGGGATTTTTACCATGTTTTACAGAAAATTTCAATGAATTCTCAGAATATTATATGGAAAATTGAACCAAATCCATGAGAAACCCTGAATTTTTTTCATTAGATCAATAATTCAGAATTATCTCTACTATGGATTTCAGAAATATTTGTTACATTGGTATTAAGTTAGAATATAATTATGTTTCAGTTTAATGTAAGATAAACATACCTGTTTCTGTACATGTCTTGTTCTTTTTGATACTGAGCTAACAAATCCTCCTGTTTTTTCTTATCAAATTGAGTTTTTTGTTCTGCCATCCACACCTTTAAAATGAAGAAAATAATAAAGGATTATTTTCTTGTAAATTGATTTCCTATAGTATAACATGTATGATATGCATATTTACATATAGAAATCTCATTGTAAAGTAAACAAGGCCGTCGCAATAGGCTATGCGTACTGAGTACGTTTAGCCTAAAAAGCTTTTAACCATATCAGAGCTATTGCATGCAGCAATTCTAAGCAAGGTAATAGAGGAAAATCGAACCTACTCATTTTTTAAGATTCATATATCATGTTATATGAGTGTAATATAATTGCTGTGAACATAAAACTTGATAACTCTAGTTGAAATAACAAATCAATTGTAATTACATATTACATTAAATGAAACCTCATGTTCTATTTGCCTCATATGTGATGTTCATAATATAATTGCCTGGAGGTTTACTGTCTGTCTGCAATTTTCGTATATATCTTAGTAGTGGTTGGTGGACAGATAGTCCAAGGATCCGTAGATGTACCTAATACAATCCAATACTACTCACTACAATTGATATAGACCATATAAAAACACCATGAATTTCAAAATGTTTGAATAACATGGAGTATTGAATATGAATCGGTATGTAAAAGGCCAGTTCACATAGTATACACAAATTTGTGGTTTTCACCGACAAGCTAGATATTGTCATAGTGTCACAGCAGAGAAGTCGTCCAGCTGGCTTTGGTGGAGAAGAGAAGATTTGAGCTGGAAGCCATCCATCGACGGGCAGTGATTTGGCCAATCACTGTCGACTCACCACCTTGAGGACGTTCCAGGATAGGAGTCGAAACGTCCAGTGAGAGGTGGTCCTGGCTGATGACGTCGATGGATTCTGCAGTCTAGCGATTGTTTTAAGGTAAATAGTGCATGTGTGCTGAAAATGTGCACACGAAGAGTTTGGTGCGTTGTGCGTATGTGGGACATTACTGGATTGATGGTGAAATTCCATCTTTTACATTTCTTTCAAGACTCATTTAGATTTATCACTATCACTGTAATGTACATCATAGTGCAAACGATTCCCTTGGCCACACTCGGCGAAAGTCCTGAGACCTAAGAGTAGTAAACATTTTCAGCAATTTTTTTCAGCCTTAAAAAGCCTTTTGCAAGACACATTTCACGTCTCATTTTACTTACGCGTTTTATGTTTTCCTTGCTTGCTGGATGAAAAAACTTCTTGGTCATGTAATTATTGAACCCCTTCCCCATCTTGATGCTTTTTTACGGCAAACGACTAAGTTAAATTTCTTGATTTTCACCGTACGTACTATGGTCGTTCAGAAACCGGAAGTTATCAAATCGCTGTACTGTTGTTCTTCCGGTATCCATGCAGTGAATAATAATTATAAAATAAATAATTTGATTATGGATAGCGTAATATTTTTTAATTATATATCTTTTATGAATGTTTAGAACATTATGTCATGATTTTATTTGACATTTTGTCATAGTCAATGTCATAGCTATTTATAGATTAGGTTTTTCCAGGAAATGGCCTTGAAATGTGGGGTGAAATATGTACGCTGATACCGGCATCGGCCTAGATACCTGTAACAGGTAAGAAGGTAAGAAAGAAATAAATCTAACATTTTCTATATAAATCTACTTAAATGTTGTTAAAATCAGGCATTTGCCATGATATAGAATGGAATTTCAAAAAATCTTAAATTAAAACGTATCATAGCTGTCATTTGCAAAAAAAATTCGGAAAATTTCACCCCTGAACAAAAACAAATCGTCGATATAAAAAAAATTTCATTATTTTAATTAATTTAGTCGAAATGTCAGATTTTTTAATATTTAATTGGATTTACGTTAACAAAACTGAGATTTATTAGATTTTTTGTTCACGAGATATTAATCATATCTTACTTTACGTATATCGAGGCCGGGAACGGCGTACGCATTTCACCCCATTCGCCCAGAAAGAGAAAGAGGAATGTCCACTTTTAGTTTACTCCTTCATTACTGAGCTTTGCTTTCATAAAAAGGTAATATTATGAATATGTTTTACTGTATTATTTGCTTTATCCCTGGTTGGGTAACCCGAGTATATACATCTATAGTTTCATTATGATCTTTCTGGTGTGTATCTGTTTAGTTAAGTTTATTTCTGGGCCAGGATTTAGAGAATCCTCGTCGCCGGACTCAAAACATAATACTAATACTAAAAAGTGAGACAAAATGTACAGTGTAATACAGTGGTATAGACTGGTCAGTTTCGCTTAATTAAATTTAAATGTCAAAAAGAGAGTTCGACTCTATAATTGCAAACAATATTATGATTTTCCCAAAATTTCTCGAATCGATTTTTGAAACAGTTAGTGGTTGGTGCTGATATATCAGATTCTGGTAAAGAGTTCCAAATGCGTGCTGATCTAATGGTAAAAGAGTTGCTTCTTTGTGTAGAATTTGCTCTTTGTGGAAAGATTTTTTTGGTATTCCCTCTTTGGCTGCGTTTAGAAGCCGCTTCTAACCATAATTTCATTAAAGTACAACATTCTTAGCCTGTCTTCATATGGTAATTTCTGTAGGCCTTCAATATCTTCAATTCTCAATAATTTCCCACCCTAATTCAGTAAAGCTTAATAGGGTTTAATGTAGCAGAAGAGATTAGAACAGAAAAAGAGAAGAAGAGAAAATCGAGATAGATCTAGAGGACTGAGAGACATACTTTGATCTTTGCCTTTTTCGTTTAACCAGGAATCTGGAAGTTCAGGTCTCCTAGAAGGCAATTGCGACAAGAAGATAAAAAATATTGTACCAATTTGCACAACACGGTTAGATGCAAGAATGGCAGGTCAAGGTAAGTTACCTTCTACGAATATTTAAATGACTTCTGTTTAGTGGTTGATGTCAGATCTGTCTTCTTGTAATGTTTGTGATATCATGGTCCTACTGCTTTCTGTACAAGTTGACTTTTTAACAATTTCAAGCTCTTCACACTGACCGTAGCTATACCAGACAATATGTCTAGTAACGGAGACTCCTGACTTTATGAAACACTGTTTTAGATATCAGTTTCGTAGTCAAGAAGAAATTCTTCAAGCACTTTAAACGATAGCCCATGAGATATATGGTGATTATTAAAAATCAATGATAATAATTAAACATGTATTTATATTGTTTTATGTTAATGGCTGATCCGAGTACATATTGATTAAATCGGGTGATTTGACCACACGAGAACATTATACAAGGTTAACTGGCCAAAATATATGATATTAAATTACAATGTCCTTGGTCCATCAAGGCCGCCATTTTGTTTAAATTGCTGCATCATGCACTGGAGCATTTCTGCGTTTGAAAGAGTTAGTATTGTAAAGCTTATAAACGACTAGGAAGTTATTCCAGAAATGTATAGACTACTTTTTGCCTAAGTAGCAAGCTACTACTAGATTATTTATAGGATAGTTGCTTATGTATTCAATCTTCATTTAAGTATTTGTTCCTCAAGAATAATATTTTTTACTTGGAAACTGGTGATTACTTAGTCGCTTACAATTTCCCAACACACATGTCTTTTTCGTTTATATCATTTGTCACTTGACCCATTCACCAATTTTAAGATACTCCAAAAATAAATAATAATTTCTTAGACACAGCTGAATTTAATACACTAATATGTAAATACTTATTAACGATTAACTTGTTATAATTATGTAAAAACATTAAATCAAATTTTAAAAACATACAATGTTAAAGAATGATGATTAAAAACATTTGCTTTTATTTAAAATCTCTGTAATGATTGTGATGGACTGATTCATATGAAAAAAAAAACTTTTATTAAATCAAGTATTGTATTTACTACGTACATGATTCCTTATATGATATTCTATCACTATCTTCGTAATAGATTTATTTGTTTTGTATGCGGTATATTCATTTTTGAATAATTTTATTTCTGTTATCAAAAACACACATGATAAAACTGCCATTGCATTTAAGTTGTAATTAAAAGACACAGTCGATAAAACAAAGGGAAAAGTTTTTTTTAAAAAAAATACAAATTCAGCTTTATTTCAAAATTTTAGTTTGAAACTGTGGTTGTTGGAGAAAATGATTAGGGTTTTCCTTCTGTCTAGCCATACTAATGTATATTACAAGAGGTCAGTTTACAAAAAAATCTACATGGCATACAGGGTAATAGAGCTACAAATCAGTGGTATATATTAAATACATTGAAACATATAAATAAGTAAGATCAATGATATCTCATTGTAAAAAAAAAGGTTTCGTTTCAATTTAATAAAAGCATAGAAATAGAGTGATAACACAATTGTATAACAAGTAACATATTGAATATAGATTTAACATTGATATATGCAACATATCATTAATATCGACCATAAATGTCATAAAACATTCGAATCACGCATCTTTCTGGTCAGTTTATAAAGCGATAATGCAAATGTAAATATATTAAGATAACTGCCGAAAATGTTTCTAGAAAAATGTTCCTTTTCTTTGTGTTGTCACGCTATAGACTGAATTTCATGGATAGATTGCTTCCAGTTCTGGAGAGCAACTACCGCACCCCCGGTCCTATGGTGTTAACACAGTTCACACATGGCTTCGAGGGACGCGGGTTAAGGTTATCTTGCTTGCTCATTCGTTTTATGATTGGGCTAATACTAATGAAAAAAATACGCAAACCAGACCCGAAGAGACCATCGATTCAGACGATAGATTCTTCATTATGGTGTTGCAATGATGATGTTATTCATGTCCTACACGATGTAACTACACGACCTTGAATGACACGGCAGTGTTGTTATTCTTTTCCTTAAAACCTACACGCATGGTTTGTGATTTCAGTCTCTCACTATTTCTCGATGCTATAGTTTTGCAGATATTGCAGTCTTTGCTATAGTGAATAGAGTAATTATATTGGTTGCGATTAAGTTACAGAGGTTTCACAAGAAACTCTGTCCCTGGAACGATTTTACCGGTCCCGGAATTCCATAACATTTTCGGTACTTTAAGAACCAATATGTTGCACAAAATATGTAAATATTCTAGGTGACCAGCAACTGTTAGTATGTCAAACAGTATTCCAAATCTTGGATTTATTGGACTTTTTTTTAATTTGCAATATCTAGCTTTATATTTGAATTCAAAACATGCAGCAAGCTTTAATGAAAATTATTTTATCCAACATAATTTTTTATTATAGGTTTTTAAACAAGTTTTGGAGAAAGATGCGACCCTAGCTCACACCCATGGGAGTCTGTTGGGCTACTACAAATAACACACAATAAAGATTAAATTGGGATTTGGGCAAAATTACATGAACCGTGAATCGGGTCCTTTATCAAATCGTACTTTGGTTTCGTTCGTTGAATTTTAAATGGTGTCTTCGTATATGTTTATGTATTTATATTATTTGATCCATAAAAATGTTTGACATGCAAGTAATATTATATTGTATGGTTGTTAATATTTGCGGGATATTTAATTTTATTATACTAAGAAAAATACGTATTTGTTTTATTGACCTACATACATGAATACCAATTTATAGACATACTTTTACTGTTTAAGCTAGTTTTAAATGTTGTAGTCCTATTGAACCTGCAACAATAGGAAAACATCAAATATTAACACCAGCAAATAAATAATTCTATGCAATTTGTGTGCCTCCCACAATCTTGATTTTTATACGTAGGTCAAAAATTTTGGCGTGACGTATTATAGAATGGCACTGTAAACTTTTATTTGCCCGGAGATCTCCTCCTTCCTTTTTCAATCGATGTTTTTCATACTTGGTAGACATATTTACCATGGCACGAAGTTGTGTTTCCCTTAAACGACAGTTTATTTCAATTGAGAAGAGTTACGATCCCTTGTTTCCATAATGCTAACCTTATCCGGAGATCTCCTCTTTCAGTTTACAACCGATTTCTTCCAGACTTGGTGGGTCCATTCACCATATGATGTTGTGTTTTGCTGCGGGGCAGTTTGATCTAACAATATAGCATAGTAAAGTTTTCACCTATTTTTCAGGGAGTGGGTAGGCTTTATAACATAACTATTGCGTGAAATTGCGTTTGCTTTCATGTCATCCTGAATTTACAAATTACAGTTTTTTGTCCATTGTGTTTTGCTTTCGTTGCTTTTTTCAACATTTTTGTCTTGTCCAGATATTTTCTCCCTTTTTTAAAACCATTTTTCAAAACATGATAGGCTTGAAAACCTCAACATGAGTACGTGCATCATTTTGATTCACAATATTTCATAATGTTATAACCCGTTTGTGCATTTCAGTATTTTAATCCTGTCCTGAGATTTCTTTCTCTTAAGAATTGTTTTCCCCTTTTGGTATTTTGACTTTTTATTATTTCCAAATTTGTATTCTTTTCAATAGATTATATACTAAGAATTTTGTAAGCATTTCGCTGGTGTATGCTGCTTTGGCTCAGTTGATTGGGCTGGTCAGTTGTCACACCGAGGCCCAGGTTTGATTCCTTATCAGGGCATTTGACTGGAATGTTTGTTTTCCAAGTACTTTCACATTGGTGTCCAGCAAAATTGGTTTTTTTTTTTTTTTTTTTTGAGTCTTGGATTAAAATTTAAGAGATCTCAAGAAAAACAGGGGGAGTGGTATAAAAGGAGGGAGCTGGTGTGGTTTGTATATAGTGTTTGAATACTGGTTGTGGCGCTAGACAGGAATGTGTATTTTCCCTGTGTTTTCACCCGCGGATTTTCAGCTTTTTGTGTTTGTCAAAAGAAACAAAAGAATGTGGAATATTTATTTATAAGATTATGAATTAATTTGTAAAAAGGATTTAGTTTTATTCATTTTACAAAAAGTGCAAAACAAATTACCCAACGTATACTTAAACCTACATGGGCAGACATACAACACGTCTGTTCCGAAATGAAATCCTGGACATCTGCATGAAGGTGTATCACCACTGTGTCACCTAGCCACTCTGTTAGTTGTCATGATACAAAATATCAATCATTACATTCATTTATATACAAAATAATACATTTCAGGGTCTGTTACCATGACAGAAGAAATACATCATAACAGAGAAGGTGGAACTGGTCATTTAGAAGAAGAAATGGAAACAGAAGTGACACAACCATCAAGTGCACAGGTGACCAATCAAAACCAAACACCTTCAAATGGAAGTAACCTGGCCTTGGGTATGTGTGATGACCACAAATTAGAAGGCATCTTGATAGATTTTGTTGATACCCTATAGAAAGGACAGTTTCCGTGCAGGCATACATTGATACGTCCATCTGTCCTTCACTCTATCATTAACTATTCTGCAGAGTTTATCAGAAAATGTTAGATAAATCTTCACAATACCTTTCCCAAATATTTGTCTCTAAAGAGAAATTTCCTCCAGCACAATGCTAGAACATATATACCTATGTAAATTAAAACCTGCTACATATATTCAAATTTTTGTACTTTGATCAAAATTCTAACATATGACTATCAGAAAAAAATTGTTTTTTTGATCTGACAATCAGCCCATGCCTGGAAGCGCACCCTCAACAGAAGCTATATCATTGTCCTGTAAGAAGCCCCCCTCCTCCCCTCCACCTCCATCAGAGATAAATTTCATGCCTCTTAGGATTATTGCAGGATCACAATGAGAAAAAGTGTATGATTTCATTTTTGTTTTAGAAACTGATGCTCCTGTCAGTTCCAGCAGTAGTGACCATGAGATAGCTGTATCAGGGGTAGCATTGGAAACAAAGCTGAAAGTTTACCCTTGTGATGCCTCTGGTAAGATTTGGATGCATGACATGAAACTCACTGTTTTTGTCTGCTCAGTTTATTACACTGTGAATAACCAGATTTATGAACAACATACAGGAGGTCAGTAGCATGCTATCTAGAACAAACAGAGTAAATTGCCTTGCCAAAGAACACAATCACAACTGCACATACTAGTTTGTTTCTTCTTGGAAAACTTCTTGAGGCCCTTCATTTGCCATATAGGGTAATCAGGGTAAAATGTCTTGACAAAGAACACAATCATGACAGTACTGACCCATTCCTCACATCGCTTCCCGTAAAATACAAACCAGCTAGGGTTGCATCTGTTGAACATCAGTCTTGATGTGAGCTTTTGAATGTTTTTCTAACATAGCTATCACAGCCATGTAAACTATGGTATATAAAAAGGAACCAGGCAGTCATATGATAGAGTCATCTTGGTATAGGAGCTGACTTTGATGATCTTAAGTAAAATGTACAATGTAAAAGAAAAAGAAGAAATCAAGATTTGATGTTTTGTGGTTCTTTTCATTAGTGATATATACATGAATACATCATATATATATATATTGGACTTTGAAACACGATAACAGAAGGAACATTTTTTATTTATGCACTGTCCAAAAAATTACAAACTGCATAACCATTACACCTCCACGATATCCCCAAAAAAGGATAATTAGAAGCTGTATTGATAGACAGCTGGAAATTTTTAATATGATCATAGTGGCAAATTGTCAAATTATGTGACATAAATAACTGGATTGCATTGTATATAAACACATAAAACATAAAAATTGTCAAATTATGTGACATAAATAACTGGATTGCATTGTATATAAACACATAAAACATAAAAATTGTCAAATTAGTCCACCAGATATTGATATGGATAGATAAGACCTCCTTGTAAATATGCAGTGTATGTCCATTAACACAAATTTAAGGTAGATACATTTTTTTATGTGGGTACTATTAGATTTTAATCCCAAATTCATACATACAGGAAATGATAAATACTGGTAGATTTACCACTGACTTTTAGTATCAATGATTTCTTGAGTAATGTTCATCCAGAAAATTGATTGCCCACAAAACAGTAATAAGAAATTAAAGAAGGGGTTGTATGGCTGTATTTCAGGAACTTGTATAGGCTGTTTCAATGGGAATTCATTCCGTTTATTTGTTTTATTGCAAGACTCTTTTAACATAACAATAAATACACAGCCCAGGTTAAGTGAGAGCAATATATAAAACTTTAAGGTGCAAAGATAACAATATCGTTTATACTATTTCTTGTGAAGTGTGATTTAATTATCTAGAGTTAGTATTGCTATTGTATTTTCCTACAGGTTGGCAGTTCTATCTTGACTACTTAGCCAATAAATTGTCCAAAGAGATATCTGAAATGGCTGCATACCTGGGCGTGGATTCAGCAAAAGTAGATGAAATTAAAAATCGATGCAAATCTAACCGTCATGAAATGTGTTTCAATGTCTTATGGTCATGGTATGGCAAGAACCCTGACAACGAAAAACGAATTAATCAAATCAACACTGCTTTAAGGGAATCTGGCCGTGTAGACCTTGCTGATGAACTAATGGAAAGAAAGGCTCCGAAGCCAGAAGACTTCAAGTACAAGGATGTAATTAAAAACCCTGAAAATAGAGTTGACAGCAATGATGCACGTAAGGTCGGAAAACAGTTAACGCTGACTTTCCAGAGTCTAGCACGGTATTTTGGTCTAAATGAAAACGATATACAAACTATTTCCCTCAACAATAGTGATGACATACGTGAACAGTCCTACAGTGCCATTAATTTATGCATTCAACAACGGAAGATCAAAGACCGACAACATCTGTGTAATGGACTTGTCTACTTGGAAAAACATACAGCTTTAGATGAGATTAAGAAAATGTGGTGTCCTTAAGCAGTTGTGCCTTATCCATTATGATGACACTTCATTTATCTTGCAACATGCAATTTCATAAGATATATATTTTGGTGAATTTAAACAAAATGACACTCTCAAGACTGGATTTATTATCTAAATTTTGATCAATGTTCAGGTTCAAATACATTATTCATACATGTCAAAGTAGATATTGAGAGTATCGGTCACCTGATTAATTACAGCCACTGCTAATGAGAATACAATATCAGTCACCTGATTAATTACAGCCACTGCTAGTGAGAATACAGTATCGGTCACCTGATTAATTACAGCCACTGCTAGTGAGAATACAGTATCGGTCACCTGATTAATTACAGCCACTGCTAGTGAGAATACAGTATCGGTCACCTGATTAATTACAGCCACTGCTAGTGAGAATACAGTATCGGTCACCTGATTAATTACAGCCACTGCTAGTGAGAATACAGTATCGGTCACCTGATTAATTACAGCCACTGCTAGTGAGAATACAGTATCGGTCACCTGATTAATTACAGCCACTGCTAGTGAGAATACAGTATCGGTCACCTGATTAATTACAGCCACTGTTAATGAGAATACAGTATCGGTCACCTGATTAATTACAGCCACTGCTAATGAGAATACAGTATCGGTCACCTGATTAATTACAGCCACTGCTAGTGAGAATACAGTATCAGTCACCTGATTAATAAGTAGCCTCTGCTAGTGAGAATACAGTATCGGTCACCTGATTAATTACAGCCACTGCTAGTGAGAATACAGTATCGGTCACCTGATTAATTACAGCCACTGCTAGTGAGAATACAGTATAGGTCACCTGATTAATTACAGCCTCTGCTAGTGAGAATACAGTATCAGTCACCTGATTAATTACAGCCACTGCTAGTGAGAATACAGTATCGGTCACCTGATTAATTACAGCCACTGCTAGTGAGAATACAGTATCGGTCACCTGATTAATAAGTAGCCTCTGCTAGTGAGAATACAGTATCGGTCACCTGATTAATTACAGCCACTGCTAGTGAGAATACAGTATCGGTCACCTGATTAATTACAGCCACTGCTAGTGAGAATACAGTATCGGTCACCTGATTAATTACAGCCTCTGCTAGTGAGAATACAGTATCAGTCACCTGATTAATTACAGCCACTGCTAGTGAGAATACAGTATCGGTCACCTGATTAATTACAGCCTCTACTAGTGGGAATACAGTATCGGTCACCTGATTAATTACAGCCACTGCTAGTGAGAATACAGTATCGGTCACCTGATTAATTACAGCCACTGCTAGTGAGAATACAGTATCGGTTACCTGATTAATTACAGCCACTGCTAGTGAGAATACAGTATCGGACACCTGATTAATTACAGCCACTGCTAGTGAGAATACAGTATCAGTCACCTGATTAATTACAGCCACTGCTAGTGAGAATACAGTATCAGTCACCTGATTAATTACAGCCACTGCTAGTGAGAATACAGTATCAGTCACCTGATTAATTACAGCCACTGCTAGTGAGAATACAGTATCGGACACCTGATTAATTACAGCCACTGCTAGTGAGAATACAGTATCAGTCACCTGATTGATAACTAGCCTCTGCTTGTGGGAATTTCCATTTGGTGAATCAGTTTAGTGTACAGCCAAAAGATTTCTGGTTTAAGCCCCAGCTGGGGCAGAATTCCTTCCTTAGCTATGTACATATTTATACTGTTGTTCTGATGACAGCTAGCCAAACAAACAGAAACATTAAACATGAAATATAGATGTTGATCCATCTCTGTATCCTTTGTTATATTAAAATTTATTTTCAAAACAATTTTGTGGCTTTCAATGTGGCCAGTATCACAATAGATGTGAGTTTGGCAAGCAGTTCTGCATAAATGACTGTAATTTTCTTTCCTCAAGTTTACTGTAGACCCAATTAGGTAACAGGCCTCTGTGTGCAAGGGAGTGAATCCATGATAATCTTGTGTACATGATATCTCATGAAACCGTGGGCAAATTTAGTTCATATTCACACCAAAGCATCATACTGGCAAGTTCAACACCAACTTAGGTTTCGGTAGTCATTGATTATGGTCACCCTTGACCACATTGCAAACAAAAGGCTTGTTGCAAGATTGGGGTAGGGGGATATACATGTGAGCCCCTATTCATTTGCTTTTATTCATTCATATAAATGATAGGCAATGAAGAAAAAGTGAACATTTTTCAAGTTAATGTCTACTCTCATCAGCTACACATTATTTATAATAAAGCTGTTGTCACTGTAGTCACCAAAAAACGCTCAGAATTATGGGGACCTTTCAAGGTAAGAGAAACAAAATGGTTATGTATCACAATCTTCAATAAGACAAAGTTTATTATTCCTTTTTTTTCTCAATACAAGGGATTGTTCTTAAAATTCACTTGTAGGTTCTTGGTTGGCCATTAGATGAGTACTTTTTGGTTTATATTAATTTTTGGGGTAATGATATGATTATTTTGAACAACATTTGAAATATATCTAGAAAGAGGCAATATCATGATAGTGGGTACCCAGATACTTCTGGAATGTCTCCTTTTTAGCTCACCTGGCCCACAGGGGATGGGTTAATAAATTTTGTATAAACAATAGGTCTTGGCCCCATGGGGCAGGAGGGGCATGGATCAATAGAGGAAATAAAGCAATTTCTTAAAAATCCTACTTCTCCTGTAGGAATGATTGTTTCTTCAAATTCCTACTCCTCAATTAGGAATCAATGGATGTTGCCCAAATTTGGTCTGAAGCATTGTTGGGGAGGGGAATAAATTTTATTGAAATGTTGAATATTAGCCCCTGGGGTTTGGGGCGAGGCCTAATAGGGGAAATTGAGCAATTTTTCAAAATCCTACTTCTCTAGTAGGAATCATTGGATGTTGACCAAATTTGTTCTGAAGCATTGTTGGGAGAGGGAATACATTTTGTGTAAACAGTGGGTGTTAGCCCCTGGGGATTGGGGGCCAGGTCCAAAAGGTCAAGAGTATTCTTGGGTGAAGGGGAATAATTCTTCTTATAAATACAGAGTCTTGGCAGGCCCAATAAGGGATGAATCATGGATTATGTGACTGATCGCCTGACATCGGGGTGGGGCCAAGAATTGGGGAAATAGATATACATGTAGTGTGTTTTGTGTGTTTAGGAATTTGAAATTTCTTTTCCTTTAGTTTGGATGGGGCAATTTCAGCCAAATAAAGTCAGGTGAGCAATACACGACCTTTGGTTCCCTTGTTTACTATAAATGCACATGTACTGAAATAGGTTAAGTATTCTGGCACATTTTCTGATCTTTAAAGAGACAGTACACCAGACAATCATTAATTATCAGTAAGAATATCGGGCCGTCCTCGTTTGAATTGGATTCCTAAACTTCACAAGAATCATGAAAATTAGGCTGGTATAATTCATCCAAATGCTTATCAAGGCATTTTTCTTTCAACTTTACCAATATTAAAATACTTTGCTGATGACCTGTATGGCCCGTGGGCCTCTTGTTATTTCACTGGTACTAATTTTTGAGAACATATGCATTTGACTAGATTAACGATCAAATATTGTAGATGGAGCAATATATGCTTGTAGATAAACTCTCAAGGGTTGTCCTTGTACTTTTCGACTGGTCATTTTAGATCTACCGAGACAAAGTCTAAAATGACCTATTGCGATTGACTTTTTGGACGTTGTACGTTGTGCATCCATTAACACATTAACTGATTGATTTCTAAAACCATTTTTTTGAAACAGAATCCCCAGGGTAATTATAGTCTGTTTCATATAGGTACTGTATTTACATGAGGTATTTTACCTGTGGATCTACCTGTAATTTTTAGCTCACCTGGCCCAAAGGGCCCAACAAAGTTTGCAGAAAGAAATGACCTTGACCCATATTCAAGGTCACAGAGGTCAAATGTGTTAAAACCTTTAAACAACTTCTTCCAAAATACCTTAAGGTCTCGAATCATTATATTTGGCTGGAAGGTTCCTTTGATTAAGTCCAAGGTCACAGAGGTCAAATGTGTTAAAACATTTAAAACGACTTCTTCCAAAATACCGAAAGGTCTAGAATCATTATATTTGGCTGAAAGGTTCCTTTGATGAAGCCCAACAAAGTTTGCAAAAAGAAATTACCTTGACCCATATTCAAGGTCACAGAGGTCAAAAGTGTTATAACCTTTAAACAACATCTTTCAAAATACTGGAAGGCCTGAAATCATTATATTTGGCAGTAATGTTCCTTTGATAAAGCCCAAAAAAGTTTGCAAAAAGAAATGACCTTGACCCATATTCATGGTCACAGAGGTCAAATGTGTTAAAACATTTAAACGACTTTTTCTAAAATACCAGAAGGCCTAGAATCATTATATTTGGCTGGAAGATTCCTTTGATGAAGCCCAACAAAGTTTGCAAAAAAAAGACCTTGACCCATATTCAAGGTCACAGAGGTCAAATGTGTTAAAACCTTTAAACAACTTCTTCCAAAATACCTTAAGGTCTCGAATCATGATATTTGGCTGGAAGGTTCCTTTGATTAAGTCCAAGGTCACAGAGGTCAAATGTGTTAAAACCTTTAAAACGACTTCTTCCAAAATAACGGAAGGTCTAGAATCATTATATTTGGCTGAAAGGTTCCTTTGATGAAGCCCAACAAAGTTTGCAAAAAAGAAATTACCTTGACCCATATTCAAGGTCACAGAGGTTAAATGTGTTAAAACCTTTAAACGACTTCTTCCAAAATACCGGAAGGCCTAGAATCATTATATTTGTTTGGAAGGTTCCTTTGATTAAGTCCAAGGTCACAGAGGTCAAATGTGTTAAAACCTTTAAAACGACTTCTTCCAAAATACCAGAAGGTCTAGAATCATTATATTTGGCTGAAAGGTTCCTTTGATGAAGCCCAACAAAGTTTGCAAAAAGAAATTACCTTGACCCATATTCAAGGTCACAGAGGTCAAAAGTGTTATAACCTTTAAACAACATCTTTCAAAATACTGGAAGGCCTGAAATCATTATATTTGGCAGTAATGTTCCTTTGATAAAGCCCAAAAAAGTTTGCAAAAAGAAACGACCTTGACCCATATTCATGGTCACAGAGGTCAAATGTGTTAAAACATTTAAACGACTTTTTCCAAAATACCAGAAGGCCTAGAATCATCATATTTGGCTGGAAGATTCCTTTGATGAAGCCCAACAAAGTTTGCAAAAAGAAATGATCTTGACTCATATTCAAGGTCACAGAGGTCAAATGTGTTAAAACCTTTAAACGACTTCTTTTAAAATACCAGAAGGTCTCGAATCATGATATTTGGCTGGAAGGGTCCTTTGATTAAGTCCAAGGTCACAGAGATCAAATGTGTTAAAACCTTTAAAGCGACTTCTTCCAAAATACCGGAAGGCCTAGACTCATTATATTTGGCTGAAAGGTTCCTTTGATGAAGCCCAACAAAGTTTGCAAAAAGAAATGACCTTGACCCATATTCATGGTCACAGAGGTCAAATGTGTTACAACATTTAAACGACTTCTTTCAAAATACTGGAAGGCCTAGAATCATTATATTTGGCTGTATTGTTCCTTTGATGAAGCCCAAAAAATGACCTTGACCCATATTCAAGGTCACAGAGGTCAAATGTGTTAAAACATTTAAACGACTTCTCCCTAAATACGGGAAGTTCTAGAATCATTTTATTAGGCTACTATGTTCCTCTTATGGCGTCCTATAAAGTTTTCTAAAAGAAATTACCTTGACCAATCTTCAAGGTCACAGGGGTCAAATGTGTTAAAACATTTAAACAATTTCATATAAGATATAGAAAATCATAGAATCATTATATTTTGCCAGTATGTTCCTTTTATTAAATCCAAGAAAGTTTGAAAAAGAAATGACCTTGCCCATAGTCAAGGTCACAGGGGTCAAATGTGTTAAACCTTTAAATTACATTTTCTGATGATCCAAAACATCTGGGATAGTGATATTATTCCAAAATAGGTTCTCAAAGATGCCCGGTAATATTTGAGAACAGAAATGACCTTGACCCATATTCAAGGTCACAACAGTCAAATGTGTTAAACCTTTGAGCAATTTCTGATTAAGCTAAAGGCTTAGGATCATAATATTTGTCCAAAAGGTTTCCTTAATGGTGCTCACATAGTGTGTGAAAAAATAGCTTGACCCATAATGATATTTGAGGTCATTGGGGTTAGATTTGGTAAAAAAGTTAATCAACTTCTTCTGATTAACCAAAAACCCATCACATTAAAGGCTTATATACAAATGACTTATTTTGGACTACTAAGGGACAGAACCGATATGGAATAATTTGTCATATTGCTTTAAGCATCTACTGTGGAACATATGCACATATACAGTTGTACAGTTGGTCATAAAGATCCAGTTGAGCGATACAGGCTCTATGGGCTTCTTGTTACTTTTTACTGGAAAGTTGCATGAAGGACATTTGTTACAAATATTTAAAAAAATAACATTAACGTCTATCCACTGGTTAGTAACGTAGTCTGTAAATGGTGTAACATCAGCTGGTAGGTCGTCGTGTTCAATGTCCTCTAGAGCTTGTAACCACACATCCTCAACTTGGTGCAGGGGTAGAAGAGGCAAGACAGCTGCGCGGCGAACCAAGTCTTCTGGTGTCCTCGTTGTCACGGTAGGGAAGTTGCAGTCCAGTCGCCTGTGCCTTTCGCCATATGCATTGTGTAGAATTAAAAAAAAACGTCCTTTGATGCTGGTTCCAGGGAAGATGGTGC